AATTATTGGATTGTTTTGGCAATTTAATTGTGATATTACTATTCAGTTTGGAGCTGAGTTTGAAAGATCGACGATTATGCGGCGCACAGTTTGCTTGGACTGAGAATTGTAAAATTCACATATTATAATTAATATTATCAAACAGCAAGATCCACTTTGTACCGTATTGGCGTTTTCGCATCTTAATTGCTTGTAACATTCCACAGTCGATTCTGATACTGATCTGATGATACTATTATGTTTTTATGGTTATCGAAACAGATCATCCGGATGTCCCTCAGCGTACAGGAAAAGTTAGCGATGTTGGCAAATTCGACGCGCTATTCTTCGGAGTCCACTTCAAACAGGCCCATACTATGGATCCGATGTGCAGAATGTTACTGGAACATGCTTACGAGGCCATCGTTGATGCGGGAGTTAATCCAAAGCAGTTACGTGGATCACGAACCGGCGTTTTCGTAGGCGCGTGTTTTTCGGAATCTGAAAAGACTTGGTTTTACGAAAAATTACAGGTAGATTCTTTAACAAGAATAACTAGATCATTAACAAAATATTATAATTAACGCACGACAGTAACAAAAGATAGCTAGACGAATAAAAAGAATCGTGATTTATTTCGTTAACTTAGATTTGAATGCAGAAAAAATTTTGAATGTGACAAAAATTTTATATTTCCGATTTTGAAAATTTACACGTACTCGCTTGTTTATTATTAAAGCTTGCTAAAACAGGATAAAGTAAAATGTAAAAAAAATTTTTCAAGTAAAATTATAAATGTTAAAGACAACGAATTGACACGAAATTGACGCAGATACCAAACGATAATGTGTATGTCGATAAAAAATTATTTTTTAATTTATTTGATTATAATTAGGTAAATGGTTTTGGAATTACCGGGTGCAGCAGAGCCATGCTGGCGAATAGGATTTCCTACTGGCTAGGAGCGACTGGACCATCTTACACTCTGGACTCCGCTTGCAGCTCGAGCTTAATCGCGTTGGAACATGCTTATCGTTCTTTGCAAGAAGGTCAATGCGATGCCGCTATTGTGGGCGGGTCGAATTTATGTCTTCATCCCTACGTGTCGCTGCAATTTGCTCGTCTTGGTACAATCCCTCGATCATATTTTCTGCACGATTCAGTATGAACGCGATATTAAAAAAATGAAAACACATTTCTTTCACTGTAAAGATTTTTTATAAAGAATCCTAATTAAGAAGAAAATTATATTTATTATTAATCAAAAAATTTTCTGATTAATAATCAAGTTAAATTTATTGCAAAGAAACATTTTATGTCATGTTAAAGAAAATATTTGTAAAATATATTTTAGAAAATATATTTATATATGAAGCTTAAAATTATCGAAAGAGGAAAATTGAAATCTTATTAAAACTTCAAAATGTGTCACATATTTAACGATGAATCCAATGGATTATGTTTTAATTGTACAATTGTATTCGAAAGTTGTTTAAAATATATTTTTTATAAATTCACAAACAGATTTACATAAAAAAATGCAATAAATTTTTTTATTACTGATACCAATTATCGAAAAAGAAATGATAAAAGTATAAACTTCTGATATTTATAATATTAATTATACATGTACATAGAATTCGATTCTTTTATATGAAACAATAAATCGAAAATATAAAGTAAGATTAAATGTATTAGAATTAGAAGAATTTATTGTATACTATACAAAAAATTTAATATATAATGGACGATTATTTTTATATATTTTGTGATAATTGCAGGAGTTTTATCGTCTGATGGCCGCAGTAAAGCATTTGACGCCGACGCGGATGGCTATGTTCGCAGCGAGGCAATTTCCGTTATATACCTACAGAAAGCGAAAGACGCGAAACGAATTTACGCTACAGTAGTCTATGGTAAGACTAGAAATGAAAAACTAGAGATGAAAAAAATAAATTTTTTTTTACTTCCGAGAAAAATAGCAAGTAAAAACGAATTTTTTACGGTGAAAAAAACCGAAGGTTTTTTAACCAAAATTCTAAAAAAAATATACAGAATATCTTTTATAGAATATCATTTTTTATTAAAACGTTTAATAGCTATATTATTTAATATTTTTTTGTCTTTATAATTTCAAATCGAAGCAAAATCCTTCTTGTATTGGTGCTTATTGAGACTAATTGTAAGGGTAATTATGTGTTTATAAATAAAAATAATGGAATGAAATGAAAAAACGAAATGATGGGAATACATTAGAAAATTTCTATTATTTCGTTGTTTTATTTATAAATATATAATTACCACAGGTTGTAGAAAAACGAAATTATGAGAAATACGAGAAGTATCTAATGTAATATCAGTTGAAAGATAGAGATAGTTTGATAAATGTTAACTCAATAATTTAAATTTAAAATATGTACAATTATAATCAATATACAAAAACAGCGTCAATTATTCTAATAAAATATTATTTATGTTAACGAAACACTTACTTTTAAAATCGGATAAAGTATAAAATATCTGTCGAATAATTATAAGCAGTAGTGTATATCTATAACGACCGCCGCTTATAGTCATTGTACTACATTTTGACTGTTTACAGCTATCTTTACAGAAATCTTTTGGATAAATGCTAAAATTGAATTCTAGAACAATAATATAGCATCAAAGTTGTCAAATTTAAAAAAAGTATATCGAAGTAAAAAACTTTTAAAGAAAGAAGTCGAAGCAAAAGCAACTATTTTTTCGAGTTTTTTATTCAAAGTTTCTAACTCTTCGGTAATTTTTATCTCTAGGCAAGACGAATTGCGACGGTTACAAGGAACAGGGCATCACGTTTCCCTCGAGCGCGATGCAGTACGCATTGCTGAAAGAATGCTACGAGGATTGCGGTCTGTCACCGAATGATCTGTCCTATCTGGAATGCCATGGTACTGGTACCAAAATCGGCGATCCTGAGGAACTTCTCGCGGTCGAGAAGGTCTTCTGTAAAAGCAGATCTACTCCTTTGCTCATCGGTTCTGTTAAGTCAAGTCTAGGTCATGCAGAACCCGCTAGCGGTCTATGTCAAGTTGCCAAGGTGACTTTTTTCAAGAAATATTGCGTTTACATTAAGATTTATCGAAAATTTTTAAAACAAGAAAAGTAAATTAATTATTTTACGATTTTGACAAAGAAATATTAACGATTTATATATGTATATAATGACATAGATGATAAACATTTTGTGTTCTCTTTCTTGTAGAGGAGGTATTTTTTTTTTATTCAATTCGGATAAATTCAACTTTTTTGTATATTAAGACTCGTATTATTTGAATAGTTTAGATATCATTATTTGAATAATAGGACAATTCAACGAATTAATTTTCTGGATATTCGCGAATATTCTAGCAAATTGGATTCATATTTATATTTCTCATGGAAATTCTTCCGGTTTAAAATTAGTTAAAATTATTTTCGAATGATACAAATGATCGGCCAACATCCATACCACGCCAAAACTACCAGTTCTCGTCCGATCACTGAAGTCAAGCAGCGTTGGGCACGGTTAATACTTGGATGGATGACCGCTTGGGAACACCGTGTGACGTTGGCATCTAACTTTTTTGCATTTTTTATTGCAGCGAAAACTAAAATACAACTATCTTATAATTAATTTTTATAAATTTAACATTATTGAAATCTTGAAATGACAAAAATTTGTTTTTCTGCAAAGTTGAATTTATCCGAATAGTAGCAAATATGAATTATATTTAGTCCTAATTCATTTTAACTCTAATTAAAATTATTGCCAATATTGCAAATATTTAAATATTTTATTGAAAAAAGTAAAAAAGAAGTATATAAGTTTATGCTACATTAATGCATTAAATTGCAACGTTTACTATAGGTACTATTAGCAATGGAAACCGGAATATTACCAGCTAATTTGCATTATAATCGACCACGAGAAGGTTTGACAGCTCTCGAAGATGGTAGGCTTAAGGTCATCACCGAATCAACACCTTGGGACGGTGGTTACGTGGGTATTAGTTCCTTTGGTTTCGGAGGTGCCAATTGCCATATCATATTGAAATCCAATTCGAAAAAGAAGATCAACAATGGAGCACCATCTGATGATTTACCGAGACTCGTAACAGTATCTGGACGTACAGAGGATTCTATTAAAGTATTCTTAGACGATGTAAGTAAAAATCAACGAAGAACTAAAATGTTGAAAAAAATAATATAATGCAGAAAAATGTATAAAATATATTAATCATACATTAATGTTGGAATTGGAAAATTTATGATATCTTAAAGTATATTCCTATATAATTCGACATCATAAAATTTCTTCAGAGAAAAAATCGACAGTGCGACAATGCTTGATTCACTATCGATTATATTCGTTGTAGATTAATGGAAAAATTAATTTTCGTCTTCGTAGATCGAGAAACATTCGGTAGACGTTGAATATAATCGCCTGCTGCATGACATTCACTTTGACGATATCCAAGGACATTTGTATCGAGGATACACGATAGTCGGCTCAAAGACGGCGGAGCATTCGGCAAGGGAAATAGATAATTATTTGGGAGCCGCAAGACCGATTTGGTTTGTGTTTTCCGGCATGGGATCCCAGTGGCCTGGCATGGGTACGTATTGTGTTCATTTTTTTTTAATTTCTGAAAAAAAGGAAATAATTATATTTTACTCCTTTTTGTTTACCCAATATTTGTTGATTTTAAATAGGTGCCGAGTTAATGAGATTCCCTGTCTTTGCCGAAGCTGTTAAGAAATGTGACGCCGTCTTACGACCGCGTGGTGTAGACATTATTAATATACTGACAAATAAAGACAAAAGTACTTTCGATAATATTTTAAATTCATTTGTGGGTATCGCGGCAGTACAGGTGAGCTGCATATAATCATGACATTTACATCATTTCTTTAATAATATAAAATATACTCAACGAAAGAATTATTGTGTCAATTTAAAAAAAAATGATTGACATTAATAAATAGAAATAAAAATTTTTCAATTAAATATAACAAAAATTAAATTTAATAATAAAATGTTAATATTCTTATATTAAAAATCATATATATTTAATTAGTTAGGATTAGATGTTACAGTATATAAATTAAAAAAATTATAATTAAGATTTCAAGCAAAATCAAATTAAATCAAGTAAAATTAAATTTAAAAAGTTTTTTTTATTATTCCTTATTTTATTTTGAAGTAATATAAAAATTTTATAGATTGGTCTAGTCGATCTTATCACATCGATAGGCATTGTGCCGGATAACATTATTGGTCATTCTGTCGGAGAACTCGGTTGCGCTTACGCAGATGGATGCTTCACTGCTGAACAAATGATCTTGTCAGCGTATTCGAGAGGTTTAGCGTCAATCGAAACTAAAGTAATTTTCGGTTCGATGGCGGCTGTCGGTCTCGGCTACGAAGACGTCAAAGATATGTGCCCACCTGACATCGAAGTGGCTTGTCATAATAGTTCGGACAGCAGCACTATTAGTGGACCTGCTGAATCTATGAAGGAATTTGTCGCCCAATTACAGGTTTGTCTAACATACCGATTTTTTGGTCAAAAAATTCTTCTAAATTGTATAAAAAATATAATATAGATGTATATGAACTTGTAACAAATTTAAATGAGAGATTTCAACAAAATGATGTAAAAATAACTTCCAGCATGTTAGTTAAAATGCAACGATATATGTCTTAACTAAATTGATGTATATCTAAACAGGCTAAACAAATTTTCGCGAAGGAAGTGCCGTGCAGCAACATACCTTATCACAGTCGCTATATCGCGCCCGCCGGACCGAAACTTCTGGCTTATTTGACCGAGGTAATACCTGAGCCGAAGCCACGCAGCCGGAAATGGGTGAGCTCGTCTGTACCACGTAACAAATGGTCCACTGCGTCCGCCAAGTTGTCATCTGCCGAATATCACACCAACAATCTTCTGAGTCCTGTACTATTCGAGGAAACAGCGCGTATGATCCCGAAGGACGCGGTGACCATCGAGATCGCGCCCCACGGTCTTCTGCAGGCCATCCTCAGACGATCCCTCGGTCCGGGAGTCACGAATATCGCGCTCACCCAGCGCGGTCACAGAGACAACGTTGAGGTTGTTTTGCAAGCAATCGGCAAGCTTTACAACACGGGACTGCAACCGGATATTGCAAAACTCTATCCGCCCGTTGAATATCCAGTTAGCCGTGGTACTCCAATGATCTCGCCTTCTGTCAGGTAGGCTTGCGGCAATCCTAAATATTCGGTTGTCCGAAATAAATCAAAAACTTTTTTCTCGCTCAATTTATCAAAATTTAATCGTTCTTCGATCGATCATTACTCGCATAAAGTGCCAACTAATAAAAATGAAAAGTAAAGAAAGTTTGCACGAAAATTATTTTAGGAATCCCCATTGTGCTTTATTGAGAGATTAGGATAATAAACTAAATGATTTAATCTCCTTCAAGATGGGAACATTCTGACGACTGGTACGTAACGTCGTACAAGATGCAAAAGAAGATTACTTCCGGAGAGAGAACTATTACTTTGTCGGCGACAGACGGGGAGTATGAGTATATGCTCGGTCATGTTATTGATGGGAAAAATTTGATACCTGCTATGGGATATCTTGCTATGATTTGGGAGACCATGGGTATGTTGCATTCGGAAATGTATACAGAGGTATCAGTCGTCTTCGAAGATGTCATTTTTGTGCGCGCTACTCATATACCGAAAGAAGGCAATGTTCAGTTAACAGTAATGGTTCAAAAAGGTAATTTCGTTGTTTTTATTCAGACAAAATATATATGATGTATTATTGTGATTAATAATCATTGTCACTATATATTGACATGTTTTAACTTACATATAATTAAATGCATATTATATTACATATGTGCATTTAATAATTTACAATATTCCAATTCAATATCAGAAACAATTTTTGGAGACATAAGACCAGATAAAATTGTTTTACCTAACAAAATAAAAGTCAAGCAATCAGCCAACTTCCCTATTACGCTGAAACTATTCAGTTCTCTGATCACTGAAGTCAAGCAGCGTTGGGCACGGTTAGCACTTGGGTGACCCCTTGGGAAAACCGTGTGATGTTGGCACATTTTTTTTTTGTAAACTAATTTCAATTTCAATTTAAACACTAATTTCTATTTGGAATTATTTTTTATTTAATTGATCTCGTGTATAATTTGTTTAAATCTTTTATTTGAATTTGGACAGTTACTAGACGTTTATATTCAATGTTAATACTAATTAATCTGAGGAAAGAGAGACACACCAGTCATTCATTTTTTCTTTCAAAGTTCATAAACAATTTATATTTTAAGACAGATGAATATACACATAATATTATTTTATTTATAAAAATATACATAACTTTTTTGTTATTTTATATATTTTTATATATTTTCTCATATTCTAACATTTTATAATATTTTAATTAATCAAAATAATTATTTCTGCAGGCACTGGAAGATTCGAAGTATCGGAAGGTAGTACTACGGTTGTGACTGGAACGATTCGAATGGTGAAGAATCCTGCGCAAGAAAAAGTACCTGTTGCGCTTTTGCCAGAAAATGACGAAGAGGAAGTGATGAATACTAAGGATATTTATAAAGAGCTAAGATTACGGGGTTATCAATATTCAGATGCCTTCCGTTCCTTAAAAAGCGTATCAATGTCAGGGACGAAGGGACACATTGCTTGGACAGGTAATTGGGTAACGTTCCTCGACAACATGCTGCAGATAATGATTCTTGGAATAGATACGAGAAATTTATATGTACCTACGAAAATACAGAAGATCGTGATTGATACCAAGCTTCATCAGCAAGAAATTCGAAATCAGAATTCAGAAGACAAACGTAAGTGTATATCTTTCCTTTTTCCAAGTTTGTTTGTGCAAATATTCATAAAGTTTGTTATTTTTTACACTAACAAGCGATATAACCGCTATAATTACGCATATATAAATTTCTGCAATTTCTCGTTGTAGAATTTCCCGTACATATGTACAAAGAGTGGGCAACCATAATATCAGGCGGAATCGAAATTCGTGGTGTCAGGGCTACGGCCATACCTCGTCGACTAACATCCGGCGACCCGGTCCTCGAAGAATACAAATTCGTGGCTCATCGCGACAGAGCACAAGTATCACTGAAGGAGGCAATCAGATTGTCCACTCATATCGCACTCGAATATCACCAAGCTATTCACGTAAAGACCATCGAGTTGATCGACGACTCCGACAATGTGACGACGAGTGAATTAATGTCACCCATGCTCGCTGAGATCTTGGCTGATTTGCCTTTAATTCAAGCGAAGATACATTTGTCAGCACCATCTAATCGTTTTGACTCGTTACCTTCGGATGTGATCTGCGTAGACATTGATAAAGTGTCCAAAGAAGAGAATATTCTGTTCGCTGTCGGTATCGAACTACTGTCGAAAAATAAGAAACACCAATTAGAACAGATACTACCGAAACTGAAAAGCGGCGGTTTCGTATTGACACGAGAAAGATCGTCCAAGCTCGAGAATCTTTCGAAACATGGCTTAGATGTGATTTTAGAGAAAAGTATTGGCGAAGAGACCATCGTACTTTTAAAGAAAAAGAAGCAGCTTAGCAGGAAAACGGAAGTCGTCCATGTTAACAACGATGAGTTCACCTGGCTCGAGAAGTTGAATTCATTCATGGATACAGAAGACGGGACCACCAACATGAGGATAATACTCGTCGGCGAGGGAGAATTAGAAAGTGGTTTGCTAGGTTTCGTGAACTGTTTGAGAAAGGAACCGGGTGGAGAAATGATCAGAAGCGTGATGATACAAGATATCGAAGCCCCTAAGTTTTCTCTACAGAATCCGTTATACTTTGAACAGCTTCAGTTAGATTTGCCGATCAACGTATTGAGACCTGGAAAGGAATGGGGTTCCTATAGACATCAACCGTTGTCGAGTCTACAATCAAAGCTTGTTCGTCATGCGTATGTTGATCAAACGGTATGTAATGATACCTTATGATATGTAATAATACATTATAATCATAAAATATTTTGCATAGATGTACGTACATACGTACATTTATATTATTATTATATTATAGTTATGTAATATAAATCGATATAACTTTTATATAAAAATTATATAATATAATTACTATATTTTCGTGGGTATATCTGTGGAAAATAGATACCTGGCGATTTAAGCTCACTTCGTTGGATCGAGGGCAATATACGTTCTGAAACTAATAAAGACGATCTAGTCCGTGTAGTGTACGCGGCTCTCAACTTTAGAGATGTCATGATGGCTACAGGAAAACTTATTCTGGATACTAGTGTAGTACATAGCCGATTCGACGAGTACTCGGTCGGCATGGAGTATGTTGGTGTCGATACCGCTGGTCGTCGCGTGATGGGTCTTTGCCCTCGAAAGTAATATTTTTATTAACTACATTTGTATATGATTGAAGGGCTTGCTGCAACAATGAGCTAACATAGCCGAATATATGATATTGGTAGAAATAGATGCATTTCTCCCTTTCTTGAAATTTAGGCTGCATTTTCTTCGTCTTTACAAAATGTGAATTATTATTGTATAATATTAATAATAGGGAAGATATTATAGAATAATAATTCACATTTTGTAAAGACGAAGAAAATTATTTATTGTATATCTTCTCTGAAATATCGCTTATGCGTTCTAAAACATCCTAGAAATTCAACAATCAATATATATTTATATTTTCAGAGGTATAACAAACATCATTGAACCTGACAGAAACTTGTGCTGGTACGTGCCTGACAATTGGTCATTGGAAGACGCGGCCACCGTGCCATGCGTGTACGCAACATGCTATATTGCGCTGTATCAACGTGGCGAGATGAAGAAAGGTAACAAGGTGCTCATTCATTCTGGCACTGGTGGCGTCGGCCAGGCGGCGATACATCTCGCACTTCACGAAGGCTGCGAGGTGTTCACCACTGTGGGAACGCCTGAAAAACGTAAATTCATCCGCGAGATGTTCCCATCGATTCCGGATGATCATATTGGCAACTCGCGCGACACCAGTTTCGAGCAAATGGTACTTCAAAGAACCAACGGCGCTGGAGTGGACATTGTTTTAAATTCGTTAGCCGAAGAGAAACTTCAGGCGTCGGTTCGCTGTCTAGCGGTGGGCGGTCGTTTCCTAGAGATCGGCAAATTTGATCTCGCTGCAAATAATCCCTTGGGAATGATGATCTTCTTGAAGGAGGTCAGTTTCCACGGGATTTTGCTCGAGAATTTGCTTTTCTCTGCAGAGGAGCAAGAAAATACTGAAATTAAATGTCTGCATAGTTTGTTAAATGAGGGCCTGAAAAATGGAGTGATCAAACCACTTGTTAGAAAAGTTTTTGAAAAGGACGAATTGGAAACGGCCTTCAGATATATGTCGGCTGGAAAGCACATAGGCAAGGTAAAAAAAATTAATAGGACAATATATAATTTCACCATAAATTTTGTCAATATTTATCATACAATTATTTGTACACGATCAAATTACACGTACTATTATTTATACACTCAACTGTTCTATAAAATTTTTTAAATCACTTAACAATGCTTTCAAGCTTCGAAAAAAAAAAATTAAATTTATTGTTAAAGTAAATACCAAAGTCTGCTAAAAACTAAAAAAAATTAATAAAGATACGTTATATCTTTTATAGGTACTTTTGAAAGTTTGCGATGAAAAAAAGGTTCTCGAAAAGAAACCTATTCTTGCTGATCCTCGATATTACTGTGACAGTAATAAAACCTATCTCATCCTGGGTGGACTGGGTGGTTTCGGATTGGAATTAGCCGATTGGTTGGTACTCCGAGGTGCCAAAAACTTAGTGTTAACATCAAGAACGGGAATAAAGAAGGGTTATCAGCGCATGAAAGTCGAATTATGGAAATCTTACGGCGTGAACGTGCTTATCATCACGGGAGCAGACGCTTCGAATCGTAAGGATTGCGAATTTATATTAAACTCAGCGGAAAAACAGGGCCCAGTGGACGCCATTTTCAATCTCGCCGTGGTGCTGAAGGACAGCATCTGCAAGAACCAATCGCCAGAATCATTCGAGGAGTCTTTCAAGGCAAAAGCTTGGGCCACGAAGGTACTGGACGAGTTATCTAGAAAATTGTGCAAGCAACTTCGGCAGTTTGTAGTTTTCTCCTCGGTTTCTTGCGGGCGAGGGAACGCTGGACAAACGAATTACGGAATGGCTAACTCCGTGATGGAGAGAATTTGCGAACGCAGAGCAGCGGACGGTCTACCGGCACTGGCTATTCAATGGGGCGCGATAGGCGAAGTTGGCCTCGTCGCCGAACAGCAGGACAACAACAAGGAACTTGTCATTGGCGGTACCTTGCAACAAAAGATATCTTCCTGCCTTGAGAAGCTGGAAAACTTTTTGTTGCAAGATCGCACAGTGGTATCTAGTATGGTGGTAGCGGACAAGTGTGTGGGTGCTCGTGAAGGTGCCAACGTTGTGGAGCGAGTGTTGGGTATAATGGGTAAGATTGTTGTTATTTTAGAATAATCTCCTAGAACAAAATCAAAAGGGGGGAAAATTATAAACATTACGCAGATGAGGATATTAATTCTGTGTTTTCACAACTGTTTAAATATATTGCTGATAGAATCAATATTTCTGGAATGAAAAATCGTATATTTTATTATTTATATTATTCCCATCGGATATATGTAGACCTTGATAAAATTATGGAAGAAAATTAGATTATTGATATACTGCGTCGTGGTTAAAAAAAAATACACATTACTATCAATAATAAATCGATATTTAATTACATCTCTTGATACTTTAGGTTTGAAAGATTTGAAGAATGTGGCTCAGAACACATCGTTGGCGGAACTCGGCATGGACTCGATGGTGGCTGTGGAGATTAAACAAACACTGGAACGCGAGTTCGATATCTTCCTCACCGCGCCGGACATCCGCAATTTGAACTTCGCTAAACTGACGATGATGCGCGATAATGACTTGGAACGTGAGAAAGCCCAAACTCAACAGACTGACAAACAGGCAGCCGAAATATCTGGCATACAGCTGGTTGTTCGAATTTTGGGCCACGAGGGGTTGTCTACCGAGATTTCTATGGACTTACAGAGCAGGATGGATCCGCGCAAGATCAAAGTGTTCCTTCTGCCGGGTGTACAGGGCTACGGACAGATATTTAGTCCACTAGCGCCAAAGATCAGACCTGTTGCAACAGCCTTGCAATATGGAGCGATAAATACTTGGCCTAATCATATGTCTATACCAGAATACGCCGATCATCTTTTACCAGTACGTATATGTAAAAGAACGTGAATGATAAATAAAATGAAATATTTATTCGATATTTCTTTCAACTAATACTTTCGGTAAACCAAAAAAATGTTTTGCGTACTGACATTTCATTTGAATTTCCAGTATGTCTTACCAAAGGCGGAAGAGCAAAGAGGTTTCACTATTGTCGGATATTCGTATGGCTCGGTAATTGCCCTCGAATTAGTAAAGCGATTGGAAAAACGAGGTTTAAGTGGTCGATTGGTGCTTATCGATGGTGCTCCGGAGCTATTGAAAGCGATAATAGAGCAATTTATGCCGTCTACTACAGACGAAGAACTTCAAAATAATGTCTTGCTTGTTATCATGGATACTTTACAATCAGCCTCAAGTGGAAAGGTAAATTTTACTGTCAATTGCTAAAATACTTTTACGAGTTCATATTCTGGTTTTGTTGTTAATAATATATATGTTAATTCTTTTTACAGTTACTTTTAGATCTGGAGAAATGTAAAACGTGGAAAGAGAAGTTAGACGTTTTCCTTTCGCATCTTCCTGACAACATAATACCGCTTTCCACCGAAGATACGAAATCATTGTGTACAACTATTTATATGCACATTCGCGCTATGCGAAAATACGATTTGTCAGCCTTCGGACAGATACGAACGCCTATAACACTTTTGAAACCTACACTACAAATTGTCAATATGACTGAAGAAGATTATGGCTTACGCAAGGTATATTAGTATATACGGCTTATGCTTTCGTGATTTAACATTTTAAGAACATACGAGGTTTTAATTTCCCGCAATCGATATCTAATAACACAGCAATAAAAAAACTTTTCAGATCACGCGAGACAAAGTGGACGTGCATTACATCGATGGCAACCATCTCACGATATTAGACAGCGACAAGGTCATAGCAGCGATCAACGGCGAACCGTTGCAGGATCCGAAAGCATTCAGAAAACTTTTAACGGAAGATCGACCATTCGAATGCGACGATCAACAAGAACGTACAAGGACCTGAATTACGGCCTAAAGCCGTGTAATATATTTTAACTTAAAAAAAAAAAAAAATATATATATATATATGTGTACGTATATTTGTGCCGAGTTTGGACTAGAGCTGTAAATATTATCTGCCAATATTCAAATATCCGAATAATTAATTCACCGAATTAACCATTGCTCAAATTCGGAACTATCCGAACTATGTGAAATTTATACTTAGTTTGAATTTATTTCTTTCCTTCTTCTGCCACTAAGAAATAAAAAATTAATTACAAAATTAATATACGAAACTTGATTAGTTATGTACAACAAAAATGTAATTAAAATAAAACAAATACTGTTTATTTTTTGTATTTTATAAATATTGGAACTGCTAAGTTAGCACAAATTTAATTTTTCTATTTAACTAGCTTTAGCAGATTGTTCTATACAACATAAGATATCACTATAAATCAAACAAGCTGTTTTTTTAAATTTGAGATCATGTAAATTAATTAATATTCTTTCATTAAAATAAAAAAATAATTATTTTATTTTTCACTATATATTTATTTTTACTATAAAAGCATACAAAATATAAAAGAATCTTTTTATATATTGAGTGTATTTAAGTGTGCATGTGTAAAATTACACAAAATTTTAATCAATTTTGGCTTATTAAATTTTGCAATTAATTTTCTGTTAAATATTTTGTAATTTAGATTCAAATTCCTGGATTTAATTCTTTGGATATTAAAATTTAGATCAAAGAGATAATTCAAATATTTCGATATGAGTAAACGGATAATTATTTTGGATAATTCGGATGTTCATATCGATATTTATAGTTCTAGTTGTATTTAAAATCGGCAAAAGTCCGTAGGTGATGTAGGTTTTTTAATCTGCAGGGTAAAAATTGTTATAAAGTTAACATGAAATTAAATTTAAAAAATAAATAGATAAATAATTGATATAAAGTTTATTTTCTACGTAGGCATGCCTATTCTATTCTATTAATCCGTGGAATTTCTAATATTGAATTTTCTCTTGCTTCTCTCAAGAAATACAGTAAATTGGACTGTGTTATTAAATATATTTTTTCAAATATTTGTACTATAATCTATAAAATACCACTCACTAATTACAAGTCAAATTATAGTAAGAAAAGATCTAACATCTGCTGAATAATTCATTACCGTTGACAAAAATTAATCTAAAGATAATTACCTGAAATTTGTTTATAAAGTAGCCTAGCTGGATAAGGTAATTAATAATGTGAACTTGAAATGGTTTACTTGTTCTAATATTAAGAAAAAGGTATTAAAATTCTGGTTACAATTTTCTTATCATAATCGTATTTTAATGCAAAACTAATACACGTGTCCAATCATTCATGATAAACGCTCATTACATTTATTATCATTATTATCATTTATTTATCTCGCTTTTTAATCATTATTTTCCATTCACTCACAATATTACATGCAAAATATAGATTGAAAAATTGTAAGTGATATATAATTAATTTCCTCTATTCTAAGAATCTTTATATAAAAAAATCGTCAATATTTCTCTAAATTATAATTTTTAAACTCTTCTTGCATTGTTCTCCTATTATTAACATTTGTTACGTAATAAAAAACAATGCATGATTATAAAAGAAAACGCAAACGGGCTTTTTATTTTGTGCTTGTGCCGTTAAAATAAGGATGAAGAAATTAACGAAAGATATTTGAATAAAGAAAACTCGGCCCGAAATGGTCTTAGAATAGACGAAATCATCTTCATTAAAAAATTGTTGATTAAATATCGCTTTATAATAAAAAGTATGGCATTAAAAATAGCAAATTTACAGTGCAAATATATCCCAAATCCATTACATATCGTTTGATAAATTTTTCGACCAATTTGAAGTCGACAATAATGTCGAAGAATCAATCATTTCCGAAATATAAGTGATTGAAAAACAATTTTTTTTTAAATTTTCCTATGAAATAAATTCAAGGGAGTCAAATAGATAACTAAATTTATCATTTCAATTTATTACAATAGAATTTTAAATTGTGGAACTATGATATAAAAGACTAAAAAGTTGCAATAAATATATGATAACCTTTCTACATCACTTTTGTTGAAGAAAAATGGATTATAAATTTGTCAAAAAATTTATCATTAAACGAATATTTAGTATTTTTGGGACACCATATGTAAGCTTTTTATCCTTTTCGATTTCAATTATTATTTCAGTAATATAATTTCAGTAAATATAATAGTTACATATCTCTTTGTAACAATAATTTCCTTCGTGCATTTATTACATAAACGATATAAATAAGAAATTTATTATAACAAAATAATATACGATAAAGAATGCAATATAATAAAAGAGGTATCATATTTAAATAGCAAAATTATAACAAAGTAAAATGACAAGAAATCTATGATTATCGAATGAAAATAATATATCAGAAATGTTTCAAATACACACAAATGTAATATCAATTCAAATGATTATTTTACAATAGGAGAGAAACCACGTATCATGTATCTTTTATCCCTTATTCTAATCTACTTTACATTTTGCAAGATTATTGAAACTTTTTTCCATTTCAGAGTACAATATTTATATTTTTTTCGTTTTCAATATATGTATATGAAGATAAAGTGTGCTGTACTAACCAGAAATTCTCATAATTCCATTGGTTCAAATGTTGATGTGGCACTGGATAATACGTTATTTAGATCGGGAATAGTGTCGTTATTGTTATTATTATTATTGTTATTGTCATCGGATGTGTTTGGGATTGGTGTTGGAGTATCTCTCGTTGGCAGGATACGAAGATGTCTATTTGGTGGTTCCCAAAGGACCAGAGCCATAGAGGGCCTCTCTCTGAAAGAGAAAAAACATACCAGATTTAACTCCTAAAACATTTATATATTTTTTCTTCTTTTCAGCCCCCCCTTTCTCTCTCTCTCTCTCTCTCTCTCTCTCTCTCTCTTTCAAATGTAAAGCGTTGCATTTTTATCAAATCATAATACAACTAATTTATACTTACAATTTAGTTACAAGAGTCGATGGTAGAATCGGTTCCTCTTGCATTCGCTTGAGTTCTTCTGAAAGGACTAATCTTGGATGTAGCTTGCTCGTTTGTTCGCCATTTATTGTATTCGTTACGTCGACATCTAGATCCATATCCAGTTGCTTGTGACAGGAAGATGATGCGTGAACAGTGGAAGTCGATGGTACCGGATTCTCGGATTCATAATTGGAGCTAATGTGCAGACCTTTGAAATGTGCAGCTATTTTTTCCTCTGTTATAAACTGCTTTGTTCGACGTCTACTTGAAAAACGACATGTCATCAATATTTCGCCAGATAATCAATTGGTAGACACACAGTGTAAAGTGTATGGCACTCACATATCTACAACGTCTGACGTTTCTAATTTTCTCTTTTGATGAAGTATTGGTCCAGAGCTGGTTTCTCCGGTGAACCTAACCAATTCCGATTGCTGCAACCCTGGAACGCTCCATGGAATGCTTATTGGTGGCACCTGTGGCATTTGCATCCATTGTCCAATCTGTTGCTGTTGCGGATTTTGTGGATTCATCATCTGTTGTAAGATGGATTGTGGTGTACATAAGTGTGCTCCACCCATGGTATTCTAAGAAATTAACAAATATACAAATGAGAAAGGGTTTTGTACAGAACAATATAGAATTTTCTTTATAACAATATATAAGCAAATGCAGTTAATTGCACTACCCTGCACTGGTACATGCTGCTAAAAATTACTGTACATAAAACTAGTGATAAAATTAATAAGTATAGTGAAAATATAATAAAAATTTTAATTTATATAATATTAGACTATTGAGCAAAATACTTATATTTTGCATGGCTATTTCTATTTATAGCAGCCTTTGGAATATTAAAATAGTTGGTTGTATCATATATTTGCTAATATTAACTATAACAGAATTAGTACAATATCGTTATCTCAAATTTGCCAAAATGATTTGAAGTCACATTATCATAAGACAATTAAGACTTTACTTCAAGACGAAATGGTAATTGAAACGTAGCTCGTATGTAGGACATAAAAACGCATTGTAAAAAATTCACAGAATTATCAGATAATTCCGGTTTGACGTGATTGAAAAATGTTAATAATTATCCTACTCCGTACGACACGCATTATTTCACTTACTGTCATTTGAGATGTACTTGGCCGTACGTTTGGAAAAGGTTTTCGTGGATCCAGGGTATCGCTCGACTACCTGCAGAGATGTCATATATATCAGCATGACGTTTGCTCTCTATTTATAGAAGTCGAAGGTAAATAAACACTACGCTAAACGATTATGATGAATCCTCTTTGGTTAGACGCTAACCTGTACGTCTCTCGCAGACCACGGACGAGCGTCGCGTCGGTGTATGCCGTAATTGTGTCACATTCACCTTGAGAAGATATGTATGAAGAGACGGTACTATTATTTACGATTTAGCGTTTCTTGTCACTCTATAATCGTCGCGCCATGAATTGCAAGGTCTCGAAACTCTTTCAAAAAATTCGCGACTTCTGACAAGCTCATCCACCCGAACTACTTCCCCCTTCCCCGGTCTTCACCGTATCGCAATGTTTATACAGCCGAATCCAGTCGAGTCTGTGTATGCTATTCTTAACTGCTTCCCCTACACCGCTCTCCCATTACTCCGCATCGCTCCGCATACTCGCCATATGATCGCGCGTGCGAAGCGAAGACTGCGAAGAATAGAAATTGTGATTGTACGCATGATCAACTTTAAGCGCACGCGCATCGCGGCGTTGACACTCTACGCATGCGTAGTCACGTGTAAAATGTCGAATAGTGGGAAAGGAATGAAAAGCGCAAGAGGGGAAGTTAAGAGTAATAATGTATACGAACATAATATTATATAAATTAAGATTCGATTATGACAAATTTGCTTTTGTCTTCTCTATTTTAAAAAATTCTTACAATTAGAATTGAACAGTTCTTCTATTTCTGAAGAATTTCGAAAGATTTCTTAATTCACACCTGAAATTCTGCAGAAACTTCAATGCATTATAATTTCTAACACAATTTATAATTCGTTATTTATACGGATATTGTGTTAATTGTATGTGTTTATATATATAAATAATATGTAAAAATAACATTGGTTGTATATATTATACTGCTATAATTATCTGTATTAGATATATTACATTATATTACTATAATACAATTATATTTTATATATACATATATATAAAATCAGAGTTCAATTTAAATCACCGTGGTAATAAATAATAAATCAGGTCGGATTTGCTCAGCTGTATATATTAAAATTAATACGAATCAATACTGAAGTAATTCTAATTAAGAGAGAAAAAACTTTTCAATCATCATAATAGGCGGGATATCTCAGGCTTCCAATGCGTACATCTTTCAATATCAATAATAAAAAAAAATAGACACATGTGATTATCAGATGCAAGTGGAAAAACACTTCAGCTTTATTGTATCTACATAGCGTAGGCCGTAGATCGTATCTGATATAATGATGATAAATAAGTCTTTCAATCTTTTACCTCATATCAAATAGTAACAAAGATACATTGAAAATTACAGTAATAATAGAGCTAATTATATGGACAGTATTTAAACGTTACGTAAAAAAAATCATAAAACATTTGTATATTAACATTCATAGTGTTATATTAGAAAAGAATAAAATATTTGTGGTATACATAATAAGCTTTATATAATAAATATGATTTTAAACTATAAATATATTTCTGTACATTTTTTTATTATGTTATATGTTAAGAGTATAACATATTTATATTTTTATTCGTATAACATTTATATAATAATTCTGAAAGTATTAGCAAAATCTTGATAAGCATATCTTGATAAATATAATATCATTAATTTATCAAATTAATTATTAATCAATAAAAAAATGTACTATCATTAAGGATTAAAAGTTCGAACATATCAAAAATATATACTTTATTCATAAAAATATTTATATTTTTTACGCGTGTACGAAACTCTGGAATAGCATAATATTCAATTCTGCCGTTCGTGCTGTACGTATATGATTTTGTCGCGTTTGTTACAGGATTTTGTCAGCATTTTCGTCACGCAAATGGCCACGTAACTTTTATACACTCAAAGACACACAGATTGCGTAACTTGTTGTTCTTCAATTTTTGCAATAATTTTAATTTTGTTACCAAACTATATCTAAAGTATTTGCATATGCATATATAAGAAATTCATCGCTAAAAGTGTTTTAAGATCGAAAGAAAAAATATTTGTAAATAACTTCGAAAACAGCGATCATTCTATATATAGCTGGAGTAGTTGATTAATTAAGAAAGAAAACGTACATGCCACTTAAGAAAGAAATTTAATTAAGAAACACAATGTAAACATCGTGCCGATGTGACACAAAAGCGTATTTGCACAGTTTATACAGCGAATATTTTTGTTAATCGCTACGCTAAAACCAGTTTGATTGCAAAAGGTCGATGCGTGAAAGGCAGAGAATCGGGAAACCTTTCTCTTTGCGAGATACATTAATTCTACTTTGCGGAATGTCAGCGCGTCGTATAAAATTATTCGCACAAATACTACTGCACTGAGATATTATATTATCTCGCTGCTGTTATCTGCAATGATTTTCGTTGTATTAGTATATACGAAGGAACATGTTATACACTTCCGCAGGTACGCATTATATCACCAAGTCGTGATTATCTGATTTTTCACGGATGGTAATTTATTGAAATAGCATAGACTGAAAAATGTGTTTTCGAATGAAAATTTAGTTTTCTAAATTATTAAATCATTTAATAGGTTCTAACTGATAATATATATATATATATATATATATATATATATATATATACTCAAATTATAAAGATTGAAAAAAAGTTTTTCACTGTCGAAAGAGCCAAGTGTTTCAAAATAACGAACAGATAACGAAATCATATTCTCTGATTAATTTAAAACTTTTCTTCAATCGAATTTTACTTTAGCTGTGAAAATATCTAATCTTGAAAATTGATAAGAAATAACTTTTTTTCCGACATTGCCGAGAAAAGATCCCAAGCTGACTTGTCAAAGGTCTGTTAAAAAATCAAAATCGCGGTATCTATATTATAGAAATGTAGAAAACATCTGGTATCATAAAAGAAAAATATAATAATAATTTTTATCTCTCCGCACGTTAGACGCGTTATAACAGCGCGTGATGAGCCATCGGAATATCCTGCGTTAGATAAAGACAAATGAGCCGACGCCGTTCGAATACAAAATTATCTTGGGGAAATCATAATCATGAGTTTTTACTACTTAAAGCTCCGCGGTAATCCCCTCTTATACAGAAAAAAAAGTAAAATGACTACTAAACGTGACGTAGTGTCCAACGAATGTGTTATACCAGGTCTCCGCATATTCCGATGATCACGTAGCTAACATATATGTACAAAGCAACGTGGCATATAGGTGATTAATTCCGCCTGTCAGAATCCAGGCTTCTTCATAAATAATATACCGCAGTTTATTCCGCGCCGTACGAGGACTGATTTTCTTATGCTAATGTCGCGACGCTGGCGGTATAATCAATCCCAATGTCGCAGCCGCTGAAGAGGAGAGCTCGACAACGGATAATTAGGAGGAATTCGCGAGATAAGAATTTTACATGATTGCGCGTCTTCCGCGCTTTTATATGTCTTCCGGCATCGAGCCTCCGCGCGAACTCATCGCGCTTCGCAGTTCGCAACGTTTCGCGAATTTGTGTCTCGTTTGCAATCGTAGTCTTATCATCGCTCCAAAAGACAGGAAAAATAAACGTCATTGGCCGCAACATTGGTGCCTCTTTAGCGAGCACGTGAGAGATGAATCGCGCGGCGCACCGTCACACAATTGCACATGGATACGTGCGGGAGGCCACACGGTCGGTTATTATGTCGCAGATATGGCTCGAAGGTAATTAATACTATTGTTATGATTCAGAGACGGATACGTCATGTCCGTACTTTGGCACAGGCGATCCTTCAGTCTTCGGTCGGAGCTCCGGAGTACAGGTTCGCGGCCGTTCCGCGTGTCTTCCGCGATGCTCGCGCGCGTCAGACACACACGCCGCGTCCGTCGCCGCACGTTTCACCGCGCTTTAAAGCACTGTCCTCTAAGAGATAACAACGTGCGCGTCGCTCGGTCGGCGATATTAACGACGTGATACGGAACGGAATGTAACGCTCTCGATCGTGCAGTTCCGCGATAATAATAATAAGCCGCTATACCGCGGCGATGTCTAGACGATTAATTTATAATTCAAACGATCGTGCGATTATCGCGCATACGGGAACTTGTACGCGAACAGAGTTAGAAGTGAATTATACGTGCGATGTAATACATATACCTTGACGTACCTGCAGCGTGTGCCTTCGAGTATCCGATCGAATCGCTCAACACATCTTGTCGAAAGTGATGGACACGGATGATAATGCGTAAGCATTCCAAGAGACAGTCGTGATTTCCTATTGTACAACTCTCTACCATCCGGCGGAATAAGGGCCGGAGAGTCGTCCGAGAGATGAGCGCTCTCGTCGATTGCGTCCAGAGCGAGAAAACGCCGAGTGCCGTCGTGCAGGGTCATGCGAGATTAAACACGAGCACCTCGCTCAGCGATATGGGGGAGGACGTGAGAGGTAGCAAATTCAACAAGTCAACTCAGAGCGATATCTCGCAATCCTCGGCGTGGAGGCTCCCCTGCGGTGGACAGAGATCCAGACCGATGTCCCTGGCGTATCTGCCGACGAAGCAGCAGATCCCGATGAGCGAATCGAGCCTCTCCTCCTCGCACAGCTCCAGAAGCACCCTGTACCCCGTTCAGAGCGAGCTCGTCTTATCGTCTAGAAATAGGCACAACAACAATAGATACGTATCACTGGACATGAGATCGATCAACAATCTCCCGTATCCCGGTTCGTACTCCAGTAGCCACATTTTAGGCAATACTACACCGTACACGTGTTGCTGTACGTGCGGCGCGAGTTCGCAAATCCCGCCGCCGCCGGCGGCACCGTTTTCGCAAACTGAAACCGACGACCACGACGGGCCCGAGAGTCTCTCGTGGAGGAGACTTCACATGAGCAGGGCGAAGCTGAAAGCAACTGCGACCACATCTGAGCTTCTCAGTGGATTCGCAATGGTGAGCGCGTGACAATAATTACATTCGTATATTATACATCATATTAAAATAACTAGGTGTACCATTAATGGATGCGAGAAGTTTTCCTTCTTGTACAAAGTAAATTATTTTTGCAGATTTTTACAAACTCTAGAAATCTCCATAACATTTTTTTACTCAGTTTGTTAAAGCTGAATATTTCAGAACTTTTTGATCAGTATAGAAATAATAATATAAAAAATGTAATAATATAATATGATGCAAAAAATTAATTATTTAAAGTAGAAAAAATCGAACCAGTATATTTTCTTCACGCTCTTTACGAGCGTGTTTATGACTGCGATATGACTGTACAGTCATAAAAATAATACCACTAAAAATCACGCTTTAAAAAATGTATACATTTTTGCTGTTTGCTTTTATTAAAATTTAAATTCTAAAGAAATTAAGTTGATTGTAATTCAATATGGAAATGAAAGAACGTTTTTACATTTTCACAAAGTTTAAAACCGATCGAACAATCCGGTTTTGAGATACGTGGATACCGATTCTGAGTATGAGTTATGAGTAGTTATGAGTTTTAATATTTCAGTTTTTTCATGCTTATACTTAATCAGCTATTCCAAGGCTGTACATATATCTTTTTTATATCTTTCTAAGATTTTTTTTCAATTTTTTGCTTCTTTCTGATCTTTTAATTACATCAATCTTTGTAAATCGCTTGATTATCAAATATTTTTTCAATTTGAACATAATCAAAATATTTTAAAAATATATATTTTTTAAAATTAAAAACTGAAAGAAAAACACAAGAAGATAAAGTGAAGAAAATTTTTAAGTTAATCACGAGAAGATCCCTAATCGGTTCTTGCAATCGCTATATTTTTTTTACGTATACTTGTGAGTTATATTGAAATTAACATATTTAGTACGATTTATAAATAGAAAAATATACAAAAAAAAAGAGGATATGTAAGAAAAAGAAATAAACTAAAGTTTGTTTTAAATATAATATTCTTAAAAAACGTAAATACCTATTAATTATTTAATTATACATATATTTTTTTAATAATGCACTGTTTACTTGACGTTAAGTTATTCACGAGAAAAAATATGTTTGTTACATTTATAAACATACCTGGATTTATAAAAACTTTTGATTTTAAATAAAATTAAATACGTATTATATTGTGTTTTTCGTGCAATTAATTTCGTTCGATTAATAACGGTTGAATAGCTTTCCTTGTTTACATGAAACAAGCAACAAATATAATTTATAATCAGTTATGATATTTTGAAAATCATTTAAATAAAACTGTTTTGCTGGAAATCTCTTACTCAGAGCGGGCTGTACACGATTACACAACATTTCCTGAAAATGGTTAAATTGACGTCGACGACAATTCTATGTAATCTTCATGCACATCTATGGTTATATAAGGCAGATATCACTTTCTTTAATCCGCTTCACTTCTCGCGATATCTAATGTAAATATTTTCTTACGTTGCTGACGATTGTAATAAATTATATTTCACTCTTTTTTTTGCTGGTCTTTTTAGGTGGCGATGGTGGAACTGCAAATAAATGAACCGACCGCGGTTCCGGAATGGCTGTTTGTAATGTTCGCCGTCTGCACCACTTTCTTGGTATCCGTGCATATCTTCGCGTTGATGATCAGCACGTATCTTTTACCCAATATCGAAGCCATAAGTAAACTTCAAGTCTCACGACTTATAACGGAGTCGCCCCACGAGAGGATGCGCGGTTTCATCGAATTGGCCTGGGCATTTTCCACGATACTCGGACTGTTTCTCTTTCTGGTAGAGGTGGCTATTCTCTGCTGGGTCAAGTTCTGGGACTATTCCTTTACCGCCGCCACTGCCAGCACCGTGATAGTCATCCCCGTGCTCATAGTCTTCGTCGCATTCGCTGTTCACTTTTATCACTCTCTAGTAGTTCAGAAGTGTGAAAGTGCGGTGTCGGATATGAAAGATTTGGAGAGTATAAAGAGGAACTTGGACAATGTGACAATAGGGCAAACTAGCGTATAAGTTTGAGACAATAATATCCCTAATATATACGCAAATAATTATACAAAAATAAAAGAGAATGCATTCAAGTATTAAGCTAATAGGAATATCGTATTGTAATTGGAATGTAAATTAATTTGTGGCAGGCAGGAATACTCAGGTTTAAAAAGTAGGTGCTATTTCTTCAAATTTAAAAAACATATTTTTAATCAGAGTGACGTAAGAAAAGAACACTATGTGTGGATTTTTGTTATCAATAACTTTACTTTTCAAACGCGACCATGTGAAAATGGTCAAGTTTTATTATATATAAAAATGTACATAGCTGTACACATGCAAGTCGAGAATTGCAACAGTACAAGCAAGTGCTCTTTAGTATATTACCTATATAATATCCAGCATTTAATAATATCTGTGTGTATACGGTTTAACTCTTGATTTTTATTTAAACCTGTTCCTTGATCATTCTGTCACTATCATGTGTCGTATCGCTAATATATATAGTATCCTTTTTTTTCATCGCGTCACTTAGTTTGTGGAAAAACTGAAGGACAATGGCTGCATTCGGGGAACGCGCCGTTAAGCGTGCTATTGTATTATTCTGCCCTCATCGTTCATTAGAAAAATAAGGCTAGAAGGATACAATAGCGCTGATAGCACGCTCCCCGAATGGCACGCAGTCAGAATGAATACTTATATTTTATGTACACTTTCTGAAATTTACATAATTTTTCTAGTCAATAAATAAATCGTTAGAGCTTAGGATATTCAGCGAAAAAACATGATTTCTTACTTATGTTAGAAAAAAAATTAAGGTATTATAATTAATGTACCTCTCGTTTTTACCATAAACTAAGTTACAATCTTACTATAAACGGTTTCTATTATATTATGTCTTAACTTCTTTTGTACAAAAACACTCACCGATTAAAGGAGTCGTTGTAAGCAAAACGGGGATAGTATAATTACTTCAATATAACAAAAGTATTGTGTGATACTTGTTGTTATAAATTATAAATTATATTGCACTAATCTATGTCCGAAAACTTGAACGTTTTCTTAAAGATACATGCTACGTCGTATTCAAAATTCATTGCATTCGATTATTTGCTTAATAAGCAAAATCTCTCTATAAAGGCATTACGCAGATCTTACTGTGAAGTTTGCCTCTTGAGATTATTCGTATGTACATACATTGGAAGAGAAAAAAAAATTCAAAATGTATATTACAGAAATATATAAATGTCATGTTGCAGTACGTAACTTGATTTTAAAAAAGAAAGGAAAATACTGTTGAGAGAAAAACTGATGATTTGAGCATTAATCACTGTTGAAAAAAATATATGCTAAATTGGTTAAAATTATTTTACAAACATATCTTCTGTAATTTTCTGAAAAAAATAATGGAAATAATGGAAATCAAATATATTTTATTACTTATTTTCTGATTTGTGATATAAAATGTCAAAAAATGATTTAATTTATATATATATAATGAAGAATAAATTGCTTGTGCTATGGACAGGTAGACAAATGAAGAATGAGATAATATTAAAAATAATTATTACAAAAATGACGAGATGATGTTAGAAATGCCTTTTCCTTGTAGAATAAAATTCAAATTCTATTTTTCTATATTAATATACAAATTAACTTTACTTTAGAATATCAAATAATTCTCCATTACATGTATTTTTCATCGGACTAAAAAAATACTATTCTAATTGAATCCAAAGAATTGTAAATTATAAATTATTCTGATGCGTATAATTTAATAATTCGCTGAGTATAATGATATAAAAAAAAATGATTCACAGGCAATATGTTAAATATGTATAACTGATCAGTGATTATGAGTTTTACGTAACTTAATAATAAGAAATAATATGAAAGCAGTTGTAATTCCATCTCTCTTAGATACATAGTATAATACTATTATATTAGAATATGTGTTATGTTATTTTTCATTAATCTCTATGATATTATAGAATTGATCTAAGAGAATGGTAGAATGGAAAAACTTGTTTATCTTTTTCAGAAGAGTTACTTAATAAATTGGTTTTCATACATATTATCTTCAGTCTTGTCCTTAAATAAACGTATAAAGTCTTTCTGAGAGCCTATCCATAGCAAGAGCTTGTTTAGAAAGCTTTTTTTTGTTTACACCTTCTTGTAATTATCTTTAACAACGCGCAGAGTTCCATACTTCATCTTCTACTTACGCATGGAGAATGACAATGAACTATACTTCCGAAATAGACGACTTCTTAACAAACGAGTAGCAAAACAAAACACGGTATCGAAAAGCGTGCTATTGATTATCGCAAATCGCCAAACGTTGTGCCCCCTTAAAAGTTTTACGAAAATGATAATAAATATATACAATTATTTTTTAATATTACTAGATACCTTGCTCAGCGTTAAACCAACTTTAAAACAAAGTCACAACCTACACGTATATGTGTATTGGATTCTTATCTAAATATTCAAACAGTTTATAAATTATCCTATTCATAGCTACACATTCGCAAGTAATTCGATTCTGATTGAATATAGTGAAACCAAAATAGTATTCTGCGACGAGTCTTTCTAGTCATTTGTAATTAAATTTTATGGTACTTTAATATTGAGTTTTCTATGCTTTGTTCGATTAAAAGTAAATATTTTTCGAGAATATGTTATTTCTTACGATGACTCTACAGTATAAGTAAAAGATCTTCCTTTGTTCGTTTGTTAAATTAACCATATGATACATAGTCTTTAGTTACTACTTAGTAGCTTGAAAATGACGATAATTATCGGTTGCGATTATCTACTGTGCACAATATCTATTCATATACTCGACATCAAGTTAAGACACAGAAAGAATGCCAATAGTATACGTCCATTTGGCATTCTAGAAATATTCTCAGAGACTTTGTTTTGTTCTCTATTGTTTCGGTAAAAAGTTCTTTGCATCGCTAACATTACATCCGTGACATTATATTACAGTTAAATTATTTATGCGGTATAATGTATTTTTTTTACATGTATTTTTGCATCGCAAATAATCATATTGATCCTTAAGATCTGATTCATTCTCTGTATGTCATATTGACTTTGAAAAAGAATGCGAATGAATTGCGCACATGTGTGTATGTGTAGAAAAAATTACTTACATTAAATGACATTGATGAAAATAAGAATGTGAAGTTATATGACGATGAATATCATGCAAGAATTTTGCCTCCAATACAACACAATATACAGAGACCCATGACTCTTGTCAAACGTCCATATGTTTAGAAGGTTGCTGAGATATGAATGGTTCACTCCACATTCGACGCAAATCTCCCTGGAAGTAAACAATTAACGCACACATAATCTTATGTATTTTACTTCACAAATCATTTTGTGTGTGTAACATATTCGCATTTTTTAATAAAAGTTTTGCAAAAGATTTAATTTTATGTCATTGTGATAGAATCCAACATTTTAAAATGTTTTAATGTAACTAAATTCACATCATTAGAATAGATGAAAAACGTAACGATACCTTCAAATACGCCATCGTGAGCAACGGCAACAAAGTGAAGGGCACAAGGTACAGTAAGGCAGGCTGCGCAGCTTTGAACACCTCAGAGCTTACAGTGGCGGTAAGTAGACCAAGAAAATAACCGATCAAGGAGCAATGAAAATAGCTAATTCGGCTGAAATGGCGCGGCGGCGGTACTCCAGTTTCGCAGCCGCCGGGCAACAGCTGAGTCTTTTTGTATGCGTCGTATCGCAGAACAAAACAGAGCAGGAGACCCGGCATGACAACGTCGCCGAGGCCCAACATTGAAAAATGTCCCGCTTGATGCATCGATGGGAATACCAATTTTCCAGGTAAAGGTAGTTTCGGCGCGGCTCTTGCCACGCCACCTAAATGTAATCTTCTAGCCACGAGACTCACTGGATTATCTGCAGGCCTAGTTGCTACCTATGATAAGTAATAAGAGAAACAAATTACATGTATCGTATATTATTGTTACACATGTGGTAATTGTATGCCAAAAATTATCTCTATAAACAGATTATTTAGATACATTGTACAATTCAGTTTACTCTCATCTTACAATGCATCCTCATGAAAAAGCTAACCCAGGCAAAATGATATTGTAAATTTATTTGAAAGGAATGCGACATGTTCTTCATTGCATATAACGTGCCTTAATAAAATTTGCAAAACTTACCTTAACCATTACGTTTGTGCTGAATATGTAGGACGAAAAGAAAACCCAGAAGACATCGTAAATCAGCAGTCCGGTTAACAACAATGTGGATACCTTGAGACTAGGTAGTCGAACAAATGCGATAAATGCCACGCACAGGCCCATACCCATTGCGTCCATCAGCAGCCAGTGTCCGGTCAAGACCCAGATGCATACTATACTCACACTGAGCGAAAACGAGAGTAACTCGGCACCCGTAAATCTCCCGCAGACGCCGAAAGATATTTTATTACCATCAGAACACGGTCTAATGATATACTGACACATGGGCAATAAAAGAAACGCCAATGCAACTGTGGCTATAACTGCAAAGAAATGGTATAATTAAACGGTACGTTAGATTATACAGGCACATCAAGTGCCTGGCATCGTAACGCTAAAGCATATTCTAAACGTTGTTACGTACTGGCTGTACAAATTGCAAGAAGCATCTGCATACTGTCGAAAAAGAAAAACATGACGAGTAGAGAAATGGAAGCACCGAGAGGTAGACAGAGAGCGTGCATCGTATCGAGAGTTTGGACTCTTCCTCCGTTAGCGCCGTCCGGGCTGCCGGCGCTGCTGTTACTCGTAATCCCAGTCAATAAATTACTACGTTCCTTCTCCTTCTCTCTTTCCCTCGCCTCCTGCTCCATGTTTAGAGATCGGAAACTACCGTAAACTATCAGTAGAATTGATATTAGGAAAGTGGATATCCTGGATGAATCCATTATAGAGTAAGCCCTGCAAACGAGTCACAATAGCACGACATTAACGAGCATGTAATTGACAACTTGCGAAATTGGAATTATCTATTGGCATCGATGCGAGCTGACGTGCACTAACCACTGGTAGTCGACTTGATACGTGGCCATGTTTAAGAATGCCTGGCCGCAGCACTCAGCGCTATGCGAGGACACCTCCTGACATTTAGATGTCCGTTGTTGAAGTGCTTTTTACTCGCACTAACCTATCAGAGATCATCTGCTACTGTAAAAAGAAAGAAATGGAACACAGCATTAACCCCCGCATTCAATCATGCAGCCGTCGAAGCGGTCGGCGGCTGTGAAAGAGTCGGGAAAGAGAAAATTCTCCGTACCTGGTGTCCCTCGAGTTCAGCATTATTGGCGAATGGAATTAGGCCTGTGGAAGCCTCGGGTCACCCTCTTAGCGGTGCAATGTAAGGAAATAAAGATTCTAGCGTGAGCTTACGGTACGGACGGCGCGCGAATCGAGGACAAGCTCGGGGCGCAACGAGACGAACGACGAACGAACGAACGACATCGCGGGAGGCTCGCGTCTAGCGTAACAGCATCGCGCGGCTAGGAAGCGACCGTCGTACCGTGACCGCCTCCGCGTCGGGTCTTGGCATCTCCCGCGATCGCATCCACTTTCCAACTTTCGCCCGCAAGCGACGCGTCGCGCGGCGGCGACAATGCCAGCAGCCGCGGAGGACGAGGCGAGAAACGGGGCCGCCGTCGACGACGACGACGACGACGACGGCGATGATCGACTCGTCCGGGACGCGACGCGCGACGCCGTGTCGAGAGACGGGGTCGGGACGACGACGCCGTACGATCGCGGAACGCCGAAGCACTGCGTGCGCTCTCTATCTCTCTCTCTCTCTCTCTCTGCTCCGATCCGCTCCGCGCACGTAGCACAGCTGATCGCGGCTATTTACGCATCCGAGCGCCCCGCGGCCGCTCCCGTGCGGACGGAACGCAGTGCCGTTCGTATCGCACCACGGACATTCACCATTTTGGTAAACACATGGGTCACGTGATCCCCCGCTGGACCTGCAGGCCCCCCGAGAGGTTTGCTTTGCTACTCCCTTTACCCCAGAAAACCGCTGCGCTCGCGCTCGCCTCACGACCGAGTTCTCGGCGACGACACGCGACGCGGCCTCTCACCTGGGCGATCCGAAGTCTGGGCCCGTCGTGGGACCTCGCATCACCTCATCGGCCCACCGCGAGTTGTCCTACGAGCGACACGAAAACGTACGACCGTACGACGACACGCTGAATATCTATCGGCGCGCGCGAGAGCCGCGAGAGCGGTCGCGACCACCACGACACGGCCACCGTAACGTACCGCGATGAGAACTACTGCGGGTCAACCGCTGCTCGAACAGGCGCAGGTCTGCTGCAAGCGCGTCTACTCTACCGGGTGTCCGGAACGCGCGTCTCCTCGCAGCCACACGATCGCGAATTCATCCAATTAATACGACAGAATAAAAATGTTTCATCCATTTTTTCGGTATAGTTCTATTTCAGTTTTTTTATTCCACGATTTTTTTAATATAAATCATATATACCTTTTCGTGTGTTTTCATTCTTCAATTATTTCTTTATATTGTATGTAAAATTATAATATCTATTAAATTTATAATATCTGTAATATCTATTAAAATATCTCGAAATCTGACATGAATTATAGATCGTTTAAAAATGGGCTTTAATCTGACATTTAAATTTGAAAGTATTGGGCATATTAATTCATTTAATTATTTTGAATGTAAAAATAGAGATATAATTAAAACTCAACATTGCTTTAATTTTCAAGTATAAGTGAGAATTTTATATGACATTCTATATTTCATTCTCTTACTTAATAATTTACATGAAATTATTTGAGCAAATAATGAAAATATTAAAGAAGTAATATATACATATTTTATTTTGACGTTAATAGAAACACAAATTAGGATAAAAAGTATGAAAATAATAAGACAATTGGAAATAATTAAAATCATGTATGTGTAAAATATTTAAAATATTTCTCTTATCTTACAGTAAAAAAAAACTTAAACCAAATAAACTTCTGGACATTTTGGATTCGAAACTGATTGGCGTATTTCTGTATTAGAACAAACATGGTAGAAACTAACCGCCACATTTAAAGGTAGAAGATGAATTTATAAGCTATAAATAATGAAACTTAGTAATTTAACAAAGTATTGCTATTATTTTATGAGAGTTACGTAATAAAATGTGGACAGTCAATTTATACGGCAATATTATTGATTTATTGTTCCAGAATAAAAATGCAATGTTATTCAGTTAAGATCGTTCAGACGTGGATCTTTTCAGCACTTTTGCTCTCGACTGTACGTACGTCGGTGTGACATCGTGTGTATCGAGTATGCATGTGTGTGTGCACACATAAATCATAGACATGTTACATCAGTGACGACGGTAACAAAGGTTAGGTGAGCCGTCAGTGAGGAAACTGAGGAACGTGGCGCGTGAGTCGTGGCGCGCGCCGTGGTGTGCCCCCGAGGAGGAAAGGTGCTCCGCTCCATATCGGCAAGAAAAAAGAAAGGACCCGCACAGTCGTGCGTGTCGCGCCTCAGCCCGTGCGTGCGTCGTCCGACTGCGACATCCGTTGCGTCACTGCGATCCCGCATACCGCGCCCTGTGTAGTACCTGTTGTGTGTATACCTGCTGACGTGAACGTAAAGCAGTAAAGCACACTTCTTCACAGAGCGCGAGTCTTCGCGGAGTCTCCGTGAGTCTCCGCGCGCGCGACGGCGGCGGCGGGATCGGACGGAGGGAGAGCCAACCAACTAACCCCTTCTCTCTCTCTCCTCCTTCCACGAGGAATTACCAAAATGGTGGCGCGGTACAACGCGGGTGATGTGTAGGCAGCAGACATCGGCTCGCATCGCGTTCGTTTCAGGGAGGTGCGAGGTACGCGAGCGTGACTACGCCAGGCCGACTACGGCGGCAGCATGGGCGACCCGAAGAGCCAGCACGGCGGGCAGGAGATGAAAGGCTGGCTTTTCAAATGGACGAACTACCTGAAAGGTTACCAACGGAGATGGTTCGTCCTGTCAAACGGCCTCCTGTCGTACTACAGGTAGTTTCCTGCGTGTCGTCGGAAACCCGTCCGTGCGACGTCCGGCTACATCGTCGCCGACGTCGAACTCGTGGTCGCGGTCGCGCGCGCGGAGCCCCACGCGTCGTCATCTACGTGTCGTGTCATCGCGGACATACATTCGCTATTTTAACAGCGCGCGATCGATCTCTCTCGATGTCGTCGTCGTCGTCGTCGCGTCAAAATCACGCGATCCCTCGTTCCTCGTCGTCGGACCCGCGGTTCCCTGTCGTTCTGACGCGGTGAAAAAAAATTGTTAAAAAAAAAGAGAGAAAAAGGGAGAACCTAGGTGTCATGCAGAGACGAACACGGGGCTGTCCTCTCTCGCGCATTCGCGATTAGGTTATGTGCGCGATGACAGAACTCTTTTCGATCGCTCCCGATTAAAAATAGCCTGGCAACAGCTGTCACATGTATTCGTACAGTATCATCTACTGCAACACGGGGAGGGGACCATACGTATGTACACGCGTGTAAACGCTAAACGTCCAAACGGTATACCGTTGCGATTTATGCGCTCCATGCAAAATAGTTTGCGCGCAATGTTAACTCGGCGGGCACGGATATATCTGTCAGGGTCTCTCTTTGTGTTCCGTTAAGCGCGTAAACAGATAAGGAGTACTGAGAGAGAGCCTCGGCGCTTCGCTTCTTATCCTCGGAGCACGTCGATCCGATAGAACAGCGCGGGGAACAGCTTCCTGTTGCTCCTTCTCGCTTGAGAGTTTACTCCACCGCGTGACATTATAGTCATAATGTAGTCAATGTAGTCCTAAAGAGCTTGGCGATAAGACACATTAGCGAGAGATAGAAAGTATTAATTAGATGAGAGCATTTAGATACTTTTTTTTTTGAGAGAGAAAATGCATGTACGTAAATCAGGCTTTGCGATTCTTCTGCGTTTTGTAATGGCGTAATTCATCTCGATCTGGTTTATCCAAGTAATGTCGAATTGAACGCTGAATTTTAATCGAGACGCGCAGTAATGTTCACCTCTAGTTTCACCTGGATTCGGTACGTATTTGCTCATGTGCGGAACGCGCGCGAGAGCGATAAGCGCTTCGCAAGTATAAAGCTGATATATGCGTCGAGGAACAGTCAGCAGTTACATAAAAGTATGACAAAACTTGTTATGAATAATGTGGATATTACTCGTCCGCATCTACAGGATACGTCGCGAAGTGCGTAGGGATCAGTAGGCTATAGGAATCCTTGATGAATTTGCAAGTCTTGAGTCTTCCTCTGGAGGCTGTCTCTCAACTGGAAATAGTTGAAAAATTATTCGAGTTTTACGTTATACAAACATTCCAAGTACGAAACACGTTACGAATTGCGTTACGCAATTTTCTATGTATTATGCCGCAATCCTGAGCAAGGAATATATACGATTCCGAAACGATACCTCTAATCCTACAGTACAGACCCTCGCATTTGACGACGCATCGAGTTTGTTATTATTATTATCTCTCATTTTAACTCTGCGAGACTTTTCGCACTTCTGATCGCTTATATATACTTAGCGCTTTGCAGTTCGTAACGGTAACGGTAACCCTATGTAGCACTGGTAACTTTTACGTGAATTTCGCTCGCGGGATTCCCCATTGAAATTAATAGCGGAACGAAAAAACAATTCGTTGCGACACGAGCGCAAACAACCGCCTGTATCTCTCGTAGTCTCGTTATCTCCGCAAGTAGAGCAGTCGCGTTTCTCTGGCAAACGATTGCGCACCGGCTTCGTAGGACAATTTTTATTTTTATTTTTTTATTTTTATTTTTTTTCATTTTGAACACTCCGCTTGGCACAGTTTGTTGTGATTTGAGTTTGCAATGCCTTTTCGAGGATTGTTCACTGGTACGTAATCATCACGGACCCGTCGATATGAATTTTACTCTTGATTGTCTGTCGTAAGGCTTCTTCTCGCACAGTATGATACACGCGTGCACGCAAAAATCACGCAGCTCGCGTTACGAGCGAACCGAGTGTAAACGTTACGTCTCGCGTCACCGTCGACGTTTTACCGGTGTTTCCTTTTTTTCCTCCCCGAACTTCATCTCGCGAAACTTGGAGCGACTCGACAGAGAGATATTATTGCCCACTTCTCTGCGGTGGGCAAGGAAAAAAAGAACGGGGAAAGAAAACGAAATTTCGAGCAATAAGCCTTGCCACAGTGTTACACTATGTGAACGGGGTCTGTTTGTTTTATGGATTGTTTAGGGCTGAACCAACAGGGGGGCCAAAGATATCATCGCGACGCAAGCGGAGGGCTGGCAGAGCCTCCGAGTAAGTAAAAAAAATGAAAACAAAAAAAAAATAAAACGAAATATGCGAAATCGCATCCCGACTGCCCCTATCCCTCTTCGCGAGTTTGTAATTAAAAACAGCCCCCCAAAGACATTTGTGTTGCCATTTTTGATACTCAATTACACACACACACACACACACACACACACACACACACACACACACACACACACACATATACACACACACACTTACACATTATATAACTTTACATTTTTTCGTAAAATTTTAACTTATTGATGACCCTAATAAAAAATCTTGTCCGCTTTCTCCATCTACCTGTAACGTATATCGGTGGTTATATTACACATTATATGTATGTGAATATGGAAATTAAACGTATCCTTCTCGTACACTAAGCCATACTAAACATAACACTTGTAATCTCCATTATTCTTTTTTTTTATTTTCTCTGTCTCTCTTTATTTTTCTTTTTCTCTTTGTGTGTATGTGTCTCTGTGTGTGTGTGTTACATAACGCAGCCGCGTGCAATGAAACATACCGCTTCTTTATGTTGTGTCCTTTATGATTTATATTACCGTGCGAGTTCCGTTCGTTCCGATCAAGTCTCATTCACTTTTGTTCACTTTTGTAGCGGTCTCACACAGCGTAACGGTCGTTGTCGGATCAACGAGATAGCTATACTACCGGTATCTCTTAGATTAGACTGTTTTGTTTCCCTTGTTTCTTCTTTTGGACGGACGCTCGATAGTTGTACCAATCGTGTAGAAGAAATTATCCGCAGATTAATTTTACGTTTTTCCTCCTCCGCGTGCGATCGATGAACCAAAACATTTCGTAATCATTATCGAATAACTTCCTCCTTTTCTCTCGATTAAACACAATTTCCTTTTTTTTTTCTAATTAGAGATCTCGTGTTGTCTGAATTTTCTTTTATATATCAGGATATTTTGACGACAATTCGACGCAACATTTATCGATACACGGGGTGTTTCCTTTTAGCCGCGAATTTTTTTGTGTAAATTTGACATAAATTTTGTTTCTCCTTAATAAAAATATGAGTGCCTGCAGATACGTGTTTCGACATATCCGATAAGTGAAAGTTTAACTCGAATGTACACTATAAAAGAATCTACGGCTTGAAGGAAAGTAATTCGGGACACCCTGTATAAATATCGTGGATACTAGATTTAGAAAAATGGGGTCAATATTTCACTGCCGAATAAAATGAATTTTATCAACGAGTATCAGGCATAGCCGTAACAATTTACGATCAATCAAAATTCAACAATGGCCTCCTGCTTTTCCAATAAATTCTGAAAGTCGTTTTATTGTGAAAATTTCGTCGAATTTTATGCCGATGTCTCATCGCAAATATTTAACAAAGGTTACGTAACGAGCGATACCGCGGACGATGCTATAAGATTGTAATCTTGAAAAGTAAATATACAAGAATTTCGAGACACATTTCCGCCAATTACCTGAACGTATACAGGGTGTCCTTAAATAGATCAATAAACTTTGAGTGCGTTTTACTCGCTCTAAGGATGATCATGCGATCACGCGATCATGCAATCGTAGACCCGGAACTGCATTCTTACCAAATTACACTTTTCTGCATCTACGCAAAATTTCGCAAGAATTTCTCAGCGACTCATGGTGATTTACTCGTGAAATGGAACTCGGTCTTGCCTTTTAAATCGATTGTTAAAGCCATCTTTTTCTACACGCTCTGCATTGACGTTTTATAGACTCGAGAAAGGATTTACGCATCTTTTACTGCGACGTATAGATTCGTCACATACTTGTTAGCACAACGATAAACCAACCTTTGCCAGAGTATTATTATTGTTTCATTATTGAGATACGACTTTAATTTCGTATTCTTTGCGAAACACCGCTGCGGGTTTGCAATTCTGCAGGAAGCAAAAATTTTCAGACTAATCGCGATCACATATATTTTCTCTTTTCATCCCCACGACAAGTAGAATACATCCCCCGAGCTTGGCGATCCATTTCGAGGATACCCTGTGTCCACGATTCCGAGCGCGATAGCATGACTCTTTTTTTCCCTTTTGTCTTCCACGCGGAATCGTGATTGTTGCGTGTTCGATTAACTCGAGTGACCTCACGTGCATGATCCGATTGAGAGCTCTCCTCCCCTCCTGCCCGCTTCTCCGGTCTTTGAATTGTCGTTTCGTACGACGGGAGAATAACTCCCACGGATTGCTCTTGACCGACGACCGCGAGTGCGACAGGAGACACTCGTTTATATGAACACGTCGGGATGGGAGAGCAGTCGGATCTGTAATATGGGACGGTAATGGGATCGCTTTCATTCGGGCGTAATCGAGTGTTTATTTTTCCCGAATTACGCCAATAAATCCATACTTTTCAATGCTAACTGACCCCCTCTCCCCCCCCCCGCATCCCTTTCACCTGCCTCCGTCCCTCCCGTCGAATAAGAGATATGGTGTCACAGATTAACGCAGACAATCGTTATCACACATTACTGTGCCGATTTTTCTGCTTTTCTTCTTTTTTATTTTTTTTTTAATTTTTTTTTTTGGGAGGAGGTAAGGGAGAGGTGGTCGCTTGGATAAACCTTCTTCATGGCCGGATCGTCATATTAAAGAGTCGAGTCTCTCCCGATTGCAAACTCACGTCTGTCTTTCTCTGTGTCATTCGGCAATCCCGGGACGACCTGAGAGAGACGCATACCTGAGACTGTCGCGTCTCCGTTACTCCCTGTTTCAGAAATCCGGCGGAGATGTCCCACACCTGCCGCGGCACGATTTCCTTACACGGGGCCTTAATACACACGGTGGACGCCTGCACCTTCGTCGTGAGCAACGGCGGCACGCAGACCTTCCACATCAAGGCGTCGACCGAGGTGGAGCGACAGCAGTGGGTCACAGCCCTCGAGCTGGCAAAAGCCAAGGCTATCCAAGCGATGGAATCTGGTTTGTACGATTGTATATACGATCGTGTGTATATCTGTATTGTGCAAGCCGGTCGTTTTCGGTACATCTATAGGTACATCGGAATTTCCCGGACACTTCTTTTCCGTCCTTTTAAATCGATAACCGTGAAAGATTAACCTTATAGCTATACATATCCTAAGCTCTGGGGTCCCAGTGATGATTTCAGACTACTTCTGAGTGAATGGACATGTTTTTTAGTTTATTTACGATCGATTAAAAAAATTAATCACAATACGGTAATTTTCTTGAGCACTGTGATGAAAAAATTATAGCGGAGATTTTCCAGACCCTTGATAAACACGAAAAGTAAGCGTGTACTGCAGCTAGGATTAACAGATTAGTATCTGCAAATAGTTTTACTTAAAATACCTTAATTTGCACGAATTATTAAAATGTAATAAAACTTTAATTTTGACGAACAATTAGAAACAGATTTTATAAACATTGAAAATTTGTTTTGAAATCGATATTCTTATATGAACAATAAATTTAAAATCTTTATTGAATAAATTTTTTTAAATAAATTGAAGTATTTTGTACATCAGCAGTTTAATGAGCATTTTTAAAAACTTAAAAATTTAAACATTTTATGATATAAAATAAGTGAAATCATTAATTAAATCAGTTTCTCTAAAAAGATACTCTATACTCATTACGAATGGATCTTGATTTTATTAATTAATATTCTTTAATCGTTGTGAGAATGACTTTTTATTCTCCTTATACTTATAAAATGTCTGTCATTGAAATTGAATACACTGATTGGAATACTCCATATAAAATACTGCAAATCACTTACGTTATTTATGTATTTTAGATATACAGCTCAAGATATAAAGTTACATAAATAAGTTTCAAGATCTTTGCTCAAGAGAATCGAGCGTTGCATGTTAATAGAATATTCCGACGTTATAAACAATTTATTCTATCGTCTTCCATAATGGTTATACATTATTGTACTTATATGTGCATAATTTATATGAATTTGATTTGCATCGCAAAACGACTGTACTATCGATACGATGCCTGTACAATTGCACAACCGTCGTGTTGCATCTGCCTTTTTCTTATATATTATCGAGATTTAGTACTTCGGTGACGTTATGCGGCGAAATCTCTTTTAGAAGAAGAGGAGGAGGAGTATCAAGATAACGACAATCAAAACGTAGAAACTGCGTCTGTGATTAAGGATCTAACGCGACGATTGGACGATCTACAGGCGTGCAATGACTTGATGCTTAAGCAGGGATCCGCGCTCCAGCGAGCTTTATCCGATTTAGAAATGATCGAACCTCCGTCCCCCGAATTAGCAGCGAAATTCAAGATCGTCAGCGAACGGGCCACACTTTTTCGGATTGCGGCGAATGCTATGGTCAACGTAAGTCCAAAGAATAACTTCTGAAAATTAAACGACACAAACTACCCGCGAACGATAGTTTGCTTTTCCTCGTGCATTTATTTAATAAATCTTTTAATAGTGACATCGTATATCGTCCGATTAGAAAATTCGCTTTTCTATGTAGAATTATTGTTTTTTTTTGTTTTTTAAAGATGATCGTTCAATCGCGCCTAAAGTAGTTTTTTTAGTACAGCAACATCTAAGTAATGCTCTGAAAGATGACAACATGAGTGTTGTTTGTGCCACTTTTTTACTGGACTCGCTAAATTGACTTTTGAACTTGCTTTGTGAACATCTCTCGTAAATCTTATCGTATCGGCATGACTGAGCGAGATGATTCATCTAACGAGAGAGGAAATAGAGGGGGAAAATCTCGAGAGATGCAGTTAGTAGTAATTAACTGTTTATAATTATTTGAATGATACGTTCAAAGTCTACGTAGGAATTTGCAAGATTCGCGAAGAGCAGAGTTAATTTTCATGCCAGTCAGGGTTGTCTCATTCCACGAAATTGCCCTTGACAATGGCATTCTCCGATGTGATCTAACACTGATATTATCTCACACGAAACGCAACCATGATCAAATTGAACCTGTGCTGTTGCAGACGAGCAGCGATTATTTGCAGCTAGCCCAGCAACAAGAGCCTAAGTGGAAGAAGATGCTGCAGCACGAGCGTGACCAAAAAGTGCGGATAGAGAAAATGGTCGAACAGTTAGCTAGGCAACATTCCCACCTGGAGGAGGCCGCGCAGCACGCGATTCCTTCAGCGACGCCTGCAGGAGGACATAGGCCTTCACGTAAATAAATTTATATTTTTTTATTCTCCGCTTAGCGTGCACTCCTTCGCACATTTTCTAATATTTTTTACATGCAACATTGTTACTTAAAAACACCAAAGATTTTTGAAAGTGCAATAAAATCTATTTTAATGTCAAAATTTTGATTTTGAAGATTATCGCAGCAAATTATTAAATTAAATCCGTAATACCGATATTTTATTAAACCACTAAATGTGCTTTAGTGATATTATTCAGAATCAATTTTTTTTAACGAAAGCAAGTAACAAATTATTATTTATTAGAGTTTTTCATTTTTCTTGTACTTTTATATAACTAACAATAAGCTTAAAATTAAAATTTTATTGAAGATACCACTTAAACTTAACTGAAGAATATTTTTGTTATTTAGTTTCCTAAAGTATTTCAATTCGCAATAAACCCCTATTTTTCACGTCTAACAAATTATCAGTACGTCGACATTGTTGTTCATTCAGTTCAAACGTCTAAATATATGTATATATGTACTATTAACTGATATTAATTTCTTATAAAATTTCTTATTACTGCGCAATAATTACCGCGCCGATTAACTCAAGTGTTAATGATTTTAAATTAGTTAAAAAAAAAGTCTTTAGAAGGACATACAGTGAATCTAGGACAGCTTGTATGCAGCATCTCTTGCTATATCACGTAAATAAATATAATATAGCGAGCTCGCGATCGAAGTTGTAACTAAATGTAAATTCTCTCTTGAGCAACTCCTGTTTACCGCAGCTCTTTCGTAGCATGTCGAAGCTAATTTAATATGCCGACAATTAAATGTCTGATTAATAATTCGCCAGCGACTAGCCGGCGACTATCTGCGGAACAAAAATTATACTTTTAAATTGGCGCGTTGGCATTTAGCCGAGTCTGCAATCTGCATTTTATTTATCTTTTTCTTTCGTACAAAAAAAAAGATTAATATTCGTCCGTGGAAGTGGGGTCGAGTCTCTCTCCCTTCGCGTTTGCGAAAGTGAAAACGAAAATTTAAATCTCAGCGCCCGCGATCGCTTGCCCGCGTGGCCGCGCTAGGCGGCCTCCAGGAGGCGCCGTCGCGCCGATGCAACGCGCGCCGCGCGTGTCGCATTATCGCACGATTACGTCACCCGTGGTCTACGTATGCACCGTCCGTCGGTCCCGTGTACCGTCGCTATATACATAGGACAAAAGAGCGTTTATCCGCGTCGTGCTCCCTGTGTATATATATGGTAACGTAATAACTTACATGTATATACACGTCCGCACATGACACAGTCGAGTGTGCTTCCGTCACCTACGGGTTCGACGCTTGAACGGGAGCGGTCCCGCAAATATCGGTATTGGATTTGCTTTTTCTTTTCGTTATCTCCCGATAACACCCCCGGTTTCCCCGAATTCCGGACAGTGGCTATAATCGCCTTTCGCGCCGACAACGGAATCGGGCAGAGGTGTCGACAATTAGAGGAAGGTGCGAGGAGGAGCGCGTCAACGGCTCCGTCGCATTGACGGCATTTTCGTGACGGTTTTCGTCGAGTCGAGAGTCGCGGGATCGGATTTTTGTCGGGACGAGAGCGGAAATCGCGAGATTCGACGCGTATACGACACGATTTAGACGGGAGTGTGTGCGTTCGTGTTGGTTCGTATCGTCTCTCCCCCCCCCCTGCGACATCTTCCGTTTCGTTCTCTCTCGCCCCTGCTGTGTGAATGCTGTGATCCACTTGTTTCATGTGTGTCGCGTTGCATCTCCTGTACTCGTGGACGAGGTCCCTGCACGCCTCGAAGAAAGAAGAAGGAGGGAAGTCAAGGGAGTGCACTTGGGACGACGCGGCGCGGCGCGGAGCAGCTGGAGCGGAGCAGAGCGGACAGACAAAGCGTCCTTCCGCGACTCGCTCCCGCGTCGCGTCGCGCCGCGCCGAGCCGAGCGCCGATTTGATTGAATTGAACGTGACACCGTGGGTCGTCGGAGCGCGATCGCCGCGATCCGGAGCGCGGACGCGCGACGCGCGGCTCGGCGCGGCGGCACATTCGATTCGCCGCGGGAAGGAGAGAGTAAACGCGGGAACGAGGGCGGGCAGGGCCGAGCGCGCGAAATCGCTCGCCCGAGCAGCGAAATGAACTCGAGTCACGACCACGCGGTCGCGGTGGTCCTGCCCGCGCGGGGCTCGCGGGACGTCATATCGATTATTTATTACGCGCGATACGATCTCTCACGACCGCGGACGTACGCGGATCACACACTGGCGTGACTTCGACGCGCGTGCCGCGTTAGCTTGCAGCTTGTACATACGCGCGCGAGTATTTTTTCTCTCCGCCGCGTCACTCTCGTGACCGAGACGCGCTCTCAATTTCGTCGCGCCGCGCGATAAAAACTTAGGCAGCTGTCTCTTATCTCGATGCAGCTTATCCGGACCTTTGGTGCGATTGAATGACCTTTGTGCAACGTGTATCATTCCGCGTTCACGTGCCTCCGTTCAACTTTCTACCTGTCTCCGACTCTTTGCATTTCCACGCGATACTCTCGATACCTATACTTTTCCACGTTTCGCGTCACGTTCGTCAAATGGCAAATTATGACTTTGCAGATCCCGCAGTTACAACGTCACCGTCGGAGGATGAGGAGGACAACGCTGAGTTTTACGACGCGCAAGAATCAGACACCTTTACGTTAACCATACCCATCGCCACGAGCAATTCGATTTCCCACGCGAGAGATCGTACCGATTCCCAGGGTAGCGACGATGGCTCCAGTTCAGAGGGAGATCCGACGCCCCTGCCTGTCTCCGATTCCACTGGCGCCGAGTCGTTCCTGATTGTAACCGATTCCACAGCGGCACAGACTCTCTCGCCTGTTAGGATCACAGACAATCTGGATATTGTAAGCAAATTATTACACTCTTTCTTCTCCTTTGTTTTAAATAAAAATAGAACGTTCATGTGTTTTCGTATACAACAGGCAACTTGGCGATCTAATAATGGCAACAGCAGCACCGGGATGACCACCATTTCCAAGCGGAAGCGAAGGACCAGGGTACCTGACAAACCAAACTATCCCTTGAACCTATGGAGTATAATGAAAAACTGCATTGGCAAAGACTTGTCAAAAATTCCTATGCCAGTCAACTTCTCTGAACCACTTAGTATGCTTCAACGATTAACGGAAGACTACGAATATGCAGATATTCTCGATAGGTACGATATTTTTTCTTGTGTCGAATTTACGGGAAAAAAATGACACAATTGACGTATCTTCTTTTTTTTCTTTAAATAGGGCTGCAGAATGTACAGATAGTTATGAACAGATGGCTTTTGTAGCTGCGTTCACTGTGTCTAGCTACGCTACAACCGCCGCTAGAACGGGAAAACCTTTCAATCCCCTTTTAGGTGAAACTTACGAATGCGATCGTACGGATGATCTTGGATGGCGCGCGATTTCAGAGCAAGTGTCTCATCACCCGCCTATGCTAGCTCAACATTGCGAAGGAAAAAAATGGCGATGTTGGCAAGAGTTTACAATGGCTTCTAAATTTCGTGGAAAATATCTGCAGGTACGACATGGCCGGTCTCTTGTTTGATAGATCCGAAAGTACATATCGATCACAAACAGTCGCTCAATCGACTGTCAAAACAGTTGCACAACCACCGTGTTTTCCAAACAGCCGTTTTTTGAGAATTGAATTTTATGCAATTAGGTGATTCCTTTGGGTACCGCTCATCTAGAATTTAACAGTGGCCAGCAACATTACACATGGCGTAAAGTTACTACTACAGTACATAATATTATAGTCGGGAGATTATGGGTCGATCAGAGTGGCGATATGGATATTGTAAATCACAAGGAAGGTATCAAGTGCCATTTGAAGTACATACCGTATTCGTACTTCTCGCGAGATAGTCAGCGCAAGGTGAAGGGCGTAGTCATGAATTCCAACAAGGAGGTCAAGTGGGTAGTACAGGGTACATGGGATTCAAAGATAGAAATCGCACCGGTAATCAGCACGTCCGGCACACCCGATAATCCAGTCTATAAAACGGGTCCTTATATATTAGCTTGGAAGCGACGTATGCCTACGTAAGTATGTGACAATAATTATACGTGTAATGCGTATGGAAATTAGAAATCTGTTTTAAAAAAATGTCGTTCTCATATTTGTACGTTTTTTTTACTTGTAAAGAATTCAAACACACGGTGTTTTCACATCTGTCAAAGCTGTAATCATAAGTAAAGCATAATTTTGTATAATATATATTGATCTTTCCAACGGAATTAATTTTCATGCTGAAATATATATCGCGAAAATCGACGAGATCTTTTATTAAAAATTTATCGATAACATTTTTAATTGCGTATGACATATTTTAATACTACAATAATTTTACAGTGAAGACTGTGAGAAATATTATTCATTCACGGAATTAGCGTGTCAATTGAATGAACCGGAAGAAGGTATAGCTCCGACGGATTCTCGGTTGAGGCCTGATCAGCGGTTAATGGAGGACGGACGGTGGGACGAGGCCAATTCAGAAAAGTTGCGTTTAGAAGAGAAACAAAGAGCTGTTAGACGAGCTCGCGAGCACGACTCCGAAAAGGCCGCTGCACAAGGTAGATTTATATATTTTCGCGTCGGCTCGCGAAAATCAAATTTTTGCTCACGTTGACAATCTCATGTCTTCTCCGCAGGATTACCTTACGAGACGTACGAGCCGCTGTGGTTCAGGAAGAAGCAGGATCCGTACACGGACAGCCGTTGTTTTGTTTATAATGGCGAATATTGGGATCATAAAAGCAGAGGTGACTGGTCGCAATGTCCAAACATATTTTAGCCCGTTATATAGATAGATTCGATTACAATGTGACTTTTGTCACATACATGCAGTGCGCGGATAAGTTTTTTGGAGTTCAAAAGTGACGGTAGCCGAGATTTAGAAGTCGCGGCCGCAAAGTGGTCGAGAACTTAAACTGCTTATGAAATAACTTTGACGTGATAATGGGGTTGTTACGGGATATGGTTTAGCAATTAATTCTTCCAATGAAGTGGACGAAACTTGTTGGCAACTCTGACATGTACGATATGCAATTTGCACTTGCATGTCACCGCCTTTGCTATTCTTTAACCTTTCTACCTCTCTCCCTTTCTTTCCCCCTTTTCTTCCTTGTCTTTCTTTCGTCTCTTCTTTTCTTAAGTAATGAAACTAATATTTAATCCAACATAATGTTTGATTAACATGCGCTTGCGTTCTATTTTTTAAGATTTTGCGCTGAATTAATGAGTAGTCAATTTTTTAATTTTTGCGTTTTATTATATTAGCTACATGTGTATGAATTCATAAAAGAATCCAAGCTCGGGCAAGAATGAATTCCGAATATTTCATTACTTTAGCTTAAAGCTGAGATAGCAATAAGACCGTAAGGAAAGAAGATAAAAAAAGGCTACTGTCATTGGAAAGGAAGGATTTCAAATCAAGTTTAGCGTTCCACTTTATAATATTTTCAGTATTTTCAATTTAGATTTTTAGATGAATATCAATCTGATTTTCTAGAATTCGAACTAAAGTCTTACCGAAATCGGTCGGTTATGCTATTAACATATACGAAACAATTTTTTGTATTTCATCATTTTTAATCCCATCATTGAAAGTATTAACGCGGAGAAAGAAAATGTGCAGTGAGGAATAAAATCGAGCCAACAACGATCGAAATAATATAAACATTTGAAGTAATATAAAACAAGATACGATAATTTCTCTTGTTTATTTTTACATGCGAATTACTTTTACAGAAATAAAGAAAATACATCTCCATGTATTAAAATTGAATTTTGACGCGTGTCGGTATTTGTAATTTTTCTGTAACTCTTCCCTCATTGCGCACTTTCCGTTTGATCCGATGTCGTAACAAAAAAGTTTGAGAAATGTTCAAAGTGGAAATAAATCCTGACGCGGAGAAGAGTATTGTATGAATTCAAAGAACAGTACAACTACAAACATTAAAAAATTTATTCAATGATTTCGGATAGACGCGCGCGACGATCGACATTTTACACACGTAATATAAACGACGACGACGACGACGATGATGCTTCCAAGTTTTGGCCAGCGTTGTTTTTGCAAGAAGAAAGAAAAAGAAAAAAAAAAGAAACTATGCCATTTCACATCTGCACAGATTTCAAACACGCTAGATACGCTCCGAATACTTTGCCGAGCTGTAAACGCAGAGGCATGCGAGACGCGCGTTATCATCGAAATGGAACGAACAAGAACAAGTACACTTGAGGCGCGAATCGAAGGCGATCCTAAGTGCCGCTCCGCCCGATTGGAGAAAGTCGAAATCGGGGTGCCGGGAGCGTAAAAACGATCGTTTCTTTCTCAAAATTATCGCCGTAGCATATAGAGAAACACGCGTGCACTCGTAGGCACGTGCGACCGGATTTATAGCGAATGATTTACGTATGTACGTATGTATGTGTTTGTATGTATGCCAGTATGTACATAAAAATGATTAATTGATGAAACTTATTGTATATCCCTCTTAATGAGCACATAGGCCGTTCCGATTTGCGATATTATCAGGTATACAGCTACGAGTGTGTCTCGATAAGCCGAACGGAACGACTAGCTTGCAGCCAATGTCTATAAAATGATCATTATGCTAAATCCTCTGGCTGTATTATAATTTTAATAGTTTATGATAATTGAAATGATTATATATATATATAAATATATATTATACACACCTGTATACATATAAATACAAAATTAATTATAAAAATAAATAATTTAACAAGATGCGACACGATTGTGTATATGTGTGTTTGTGTGTGCGTGCGTATGTGTGAGTGAGAAAGAATCGAGTAGTGAAACTGGATTATTAGCGCTTGTACATTAGCCAATTCGTGTGGGGAGAAAGAGAGAGAGAGAAATACAAATATGCTTCGCTACAAAGGAATATTCATTTCGTGGCGTCTCCTTTACAGCCACCCATCGTCGCGATATCGCATAAAAGGCGTAATAATTGTACACGGTTTTTCGTTCTGTCGAATAAACTCGTATATTGAATCAATATATTATACGAAGGGGCGCTACATAAACACGAATTAATACGGATTAAACAGTTTGTTGCGAGAATATTTTATTGATGTCTCTTTCGATCCAGGGCTCTTGCGATACCACGCAAGTTCGGTATAAAATGTACCCTTTGCCGGTAGAAATTTTTTTTTTTCATAAAGCTGGAAAATAATGTTTTGACATTTGCGTATCAACGTACGGAGCAAGGTAAAGAAGCACAGAGAGCTCGATCGACTATTCGAAAATTTTGGAAAAGCTCGTCCCGGTTATCGAAGGAAGACATAAAGCCGCGAATCGTCGGCGTGACTGTTGAGCTTTTGTCGTTCCCGGTTTCCCGGTTCGCATTCCGCCGGTTTCCGCGTTTCCTCGTTCCTGCGGCGACGTTTTTTTTTTTTTTTTTTACAAAAGAGCGGCCGGAAAACGGAGGCGCGCGACGGATAATCCCGCGACTCGCGTATGCGAAGTTTGTTGAATTTGCGGTTGAATACGAGCGAGACTTCGGCTCGCTTTTTCGTCAGCTAGAGAGACAGAGAGAGAAATAGAATATTCGTCAGGAACGAATCGTCGAAAGGAGAATCGTGCGTGCTCGCGCCTGCGCACCTCGTCAACCGGTCCGTTCCGTCCGTTCGTTCCGTTCGTCGGGACGACGACGGCGGCGGCGGCGGAGGCAATGACGTCACGGGCGTAGTAATACACGGCGCGAGCGCATGGCGAGCGGAGTCCATCCGCGGAGCTGCTGCGCGAGAGACTGGGAACTGCTTTCGATTGTTGGCGGGCGCCGCCATCTTGGTCAGTGAGCCTGCGAGTGGCCTGTACGTCTCCGTGGTGCGGTGTGGCTTCGTTGTGCGTATTTCGGGCGGTCGTTTGCCGAACGGGCATTCCGTGTGCGCGTCTCTCCCCCGCGTGGGCCCCTCGTTGTTCGTTTAACCCGTGAGATCCGCGTGCATCCGAGATGTCGGAACGGGAGGACAACGTTTACAAGGCGAAACTGGCCGAGCAAGCGGAACGCTATGACGGTGAGTAGATATTTCTCCTTCCGGCGGGGCGGCCGCGGGAAGGGGGGCAAAGGGGGACACGGCCTAGCCGGTTCGTATAACGCGAAACCGATCTACGTATCGCGCGATCCATTCGCGTCTCGCGCGTTCGCGTCAACGGGCTCCTCTTCTCCCCCTCCCCCGCTCCCCTCCGGCCCCGCTTCTGCCGCCCTCCCCGCGTCAGCGGGGGGCTTCGATTCTCCGGTCTTCCGTCGTCGCGTCTCGCGACGTCGTAGCCCCGCGGGGAGCCTCTCCTTCCCGGCAGATTTCTCCCAACCGCGAATAACCTTTCCCATCGTTCGCCGTTACCTCCCGGACGGTATATATCCGTGGCGCCGAGGCGGCCGCTCTCGCGTCGTATCTGTCAAAATTCGCCGCGCGACCGGGTGATTCGGCGGAGGAGGGGAGGGCGGGCGGGCCGCCGATCGTTACGACGTTATCCATCAGCGTGTAGCCGGTGGCATGCATTCCTTTGTGGCGGCGCCGAACGCGATATCGACTCGGTGTCATTCGCGACGTCGATCCGGCGCGGCAAGGCCCGCGCCCGTCTGCCCGTTCGCTCGCCCATCCATCCATCCATCCATCCATCCATCCGTTCATTCGCCGGAGCCCCTTGGCAGCTCGGCTGCGAGTCGGAGGCACGAGGCGGGACGAGGCGGCGGATACGCACAAGGATCCTCTCGTGCGCGTTTCTCTTATCGCTCTCTCGCCGATTCTGTGGCCCTCGTTTCGGGGAACGACGGAACGACGCGCCACCGGTGGCGGCCACGCGTTGCTAGGCGTGCTCCCGGTTCTCCGCCTCGCGCCTCTCGCCCGAGAGAGCTATACGTCTCTCTCGGGCGAGATAAGCGCCGACAGGTTCGGTTCCTCTCGACCGGCAGACGTACGGTCGTGACGCATAGACACGTCGAAGGCGCCTTCGCTAATCACCGGCGGGTCTGCTACTACGGGCCGAGCAGGTACACGCAGTAACTCGCGTGTTCCACTCGTGGCATCTGGCCTTGAACGTACCAAGAAATCACCGACCGGGACTCGATCGACCGAGAGAGAAAGAGAGAACGACCTACGTCCTTGTCTTCCCATCTTCTCGTAATCGGGTTCGACGCGAGAATCGTGTAAAGAGGTCCACAATCTGCACGGTTCGCAGATCACGGACTCGCTTTGGTTTTCTCCCAACATTTTGCAGCTCCTTTTCCCTGCGCGCGAGAAAAAAGTGAGGCGAGTCCGCGTAACCGAAAGGGTCCGCTTTAAACGCGAAGCCGTCAGGTAAAATGGACCTCGAACGGATGCGGCGTACACGCCGGATATCGCTTTTGCCGACTCTTTCGATCCTTTCGCACGTCTTCCGTTCTCCCTTCATCCCCTCTCCCTTCCCCGTCATCGAGTCAACAGGGACCAGGTTAGGCGTAACGTGGGACGATCCTTGGGATGGGAGAATTACGGAGCACGCATTTCTCTTTCGGACTTTGACGACTCGTCCCGGAGTCGCCGCCGGTTTTCGAAGCGGCCTTACGACGACGACGATTCGCGATCGATCTCTCTTCGCGTTCTCGATATCGACGCGACCTCGCGGACGTGCGGGATTATCGAGCGTCGGCACACACACCGGTGATTCGGAGCGTTCGTATCGATCGCGTCCGCGCGATGCTTGTCATTCCTATCGCTATCTTTCGGTAATATAATAAAAAAAAAAGTATGTACGCCCGATTCGCGATCTCTCTCTCGTTCTCCGAGGGGCGACGGCAACACGCGTGGTGCGCGCCCGGAACGAGCGGCAGGCAGGGAAGAAACGAGACGAAGGGGCGAGAGGGGCGATCGCGCGAGTGCCGTGGCATCGCGGGCCGCGGGGCGATACACGACGGCCGACGACGAGGAGTACTGGCGAGGCGTGGGTGAGGGAAGAGAGCGAAGGGGGGGGGAGGGGAGATGGTCAAATTTCTCCGTCCCTACGCCGTACGTTTCGGTGTGCGCGCCTCGTGTCTTCCTCGACGGGAATTCCTGAAGCGTCCGGCTGTACTTCCATCTGCGTTCTAGCGATTTCCTTTTCTCCTTTTCTCTCTCTCTCTCTTTTCCTCTTTCTTCTCTCCCCCCTCCCCCGTGCGTAGAGAAAGAATGCGTTCGTTCCCTGCGCGACTTTAACAGCGAAACGCGCGTAACCTTACGGATCATGAGAGAGGGAGGTGCATTAATCGCACCGAGACGCACTGAGTAATGCAAAAAGTAGCTTGTCATATCGATAATTTTATCAACGATGAGAAATAAGAGATATTACTGCGATTCTTTTGTTCAAGAAATAAAGTAATAAAATATAATAAGTCGTAATAGAAAAGTGAATGATATAAAAAGAAAATGTGACGGATGTAGCAATGTTTTTTTTATTCTAAAAAAAAATGTTTTTTTGACTCGGTGATCTAAAGCTAGTTTGTTTCTTCGTCTCACCCGTTGTTGCGCGATATATAACGAAGATCGAGAGATCTCACGCGCGACTCTCGTGGCACTGATTAACGAATCTTTGTTCCTTTCGTGATGCCGTTCTAATTGGCGGCGAGT